CTTGGCACTGAAGTGCAACAGTTCGAGTTGCCACGTTACAAATACCACACAAAGGTAGACAAGAAGATGAGTGAAGAGAATCAATAGAGTTTGACAGGTATAAGAGCGAAACAAAATGGGTAATGATAGAAAGGAAGATGAAAGATTACAGAGGCTGAATACATTGATTCCTAGAGTCCCAAGAGCCCCAACCCGGTAGTCTAAATATCCCTACCAACCTGACTCAGTTTTACTGTCAAGGATTTCATGGATTGATGAGGCCATGTTTTTGTTTCGCCACCACTTACTCTTCTCCAACCTGCATCTATATCAGCTAGTAATGCCCGTGAGGGGAGGCGATGGTTGGCTAGCGCAACACCTGACCTACCAATCTCAATCTATGTAACTTTATAGCCTCGTCGATTGATTTTCCCTCTTTGCCCAACACTGTGCGCCCAACGTCAACATTACTTACCTTATTAAACCACCTAACGTGAGAAAGACATCTCAGACATCTATGATCGAAAGCAGTCAACATTTTCATGTCTTCAACTAGTATTGGCCATGTTTCAGAGCCATGGAGAAGGACGGAGTGAACGGCTGAGCAGTACACACGTCCCTTGGTTGATAGCCAGCCGGATGTCACGCCTACGCCAGAGATGGTGTAAGTCAGCGAAAGCAGCTCGAGATTTTCGGATCCGTGCTGAGATTTCGTCGCCAATCAGTCCCCGTTGGTGATGATACAACTTCCCAAATAGGTGAAGTGGTGGTCAACATGTTCTATCACTTCACACTCTATCACTAAGCTAGGAGTTGACCTAGTCCATCCAGTGCTGTAGCAGCATCTTACATTCTACAGGGGCGAATCGAATGCCAAACACGTGAAGATTGTTGCTCAAGGTGTTCAGAAGACTCTGCAATTTGTCACCATCCTCCCCTAACAGGAAGGACTATGTCATCTGCATATTCTAAGTCCATAAGACTATCCTCTGGTAACAAGTCGATTCCTAAGTCATTACGTTCAGTTAAGGATACTTCCATCAGGATATCTATGATGAAGTTAAACAGAAATGGGGAATGTGGACATCCCTGTCGGACACAACTGGTTGTTATCAATTCAGACGTCAATTCCCCCGAAAGCCCTTACACGGCTACATAAGTTTGAATAGAGTTCGTTGATTAGTGCAATGTACTTTCTTGACACTCCCTTCACAGTCAAACATTGCCATAGTACCTTTCGATCCACGGAGTCGAAGGCCGCCTTCAAGTCAAGGAATATGGTAATTGTTGGACGCTGAAAAGTGTGTCTATGTTCTATAACCTGTAGGAGAGTGAAGATATGATCTATGCACCCTCTACCTGGTCTAAAGCCTGTTTTACTTTGTTTAGGCTACGACGAATTATTCTGTGAGAGTAGATGGTCGACATCATTAACATACTATCAAGAAAGAGCTGTTCAGAACATACTGATTATTCACTACTTCACGGTAGTATACAATTAAGTTTTGAGATACTTTCAAATCAACTTATTTTCATGAGCTACTCAAATCATAATGAATGACATTATTATAATCGCTGCATACATTAGTACTGGTGGTCAGCTTAAACCAATAAATTTCTAATCAGCATAATGTATCTACGTTTCTTGTTGTTTTGATCATAAAATTGAGTCTTAGAGGATCCCAACATGATGGAAAATGTCGTAGAGGATCGAATTTTTTTTCAGGTAAAACAACGCTGTGCTATAGGATATAGTGTCAATATTTTATACTTGAAGGTTCTATACCAGAGGGTAATATATATTCGAAGAGATTACGTTGTTAGATTTTCGTCAAAATTAAATCAAGTTAAAGAGATCACTGAAAACCAGACAGCAGTCGATGGACGTTTCATCCTCATCGTCTGAGACTCTTCATCAGTGGCAACCCACGACACGAACAAGGATCTCTCACCCGAGACCTTCAGGTTAGGAGACCAAGCTCGTTGATCATTAAGCCAGTTGGACTGGAATTTGATGACCCTTGAATTCTGACTTTGTTGACTCGTGACATAGACTTGCCCTGACTGATGCCTTCAGTAAGCATCCACTTAATCTTGACATGGTGCAGTGGACTACTGGTCACAACTTCCCACTTCGGCTTCAGGAAATCCATCTAGTTGCCATCAGTGAGTTGGTGTTGGTTCATGACAAAAATCTAACCACTGAAATTAATCTTAAATTCTAACGAATCCTATTGTAACAACAGAAAACAAAGGCCAGGCAACAGATCGTTTATTAAGGAAATCAGCATGTATTTATATGTATTTCATGTACATTATTATAGCTCATTCAAGCAGACAAACACAGTCTTCTGATTGGTTGTTTCTTGTACTGCTTATGGCTGGTTTCTCAGAAAGCTAAGCCATATAACTGCGAATCGTATTTGCCCACGTTAAGTCTGCTGCGATTGGTTGTTGAATCAGCCTTGTTCATATTTTCTCACGGTCAACATTAGCAACACAGACACTGACGTAAATTAATGTCTACCAATTGGCTTTTATTATTATGGATAGTCATATCCATTGAAACAAATTTCGTATAATACCCAAATAATAAATAATACAGCCTTGAGATTAATTACATGAATATTCCTATATATGCATAAAAAGCCATCTGGATGAGACATTTAACAATGAGGTTACCGGTATACTGGAGGTTCAATCGAAGACTAGTCCTAACAGACAAGGAGATACCAGAGCTATTATCAGATACATGCTTTACCTATTCACCGATCACTTAACACCGGATCATTGATTAATGATGCTAACCGGTATAAATTCAGAAATACGTTTGGAACGATGACATCTAAATTCATCGACGGAAGGTTTCCACGTAAAGCAACCAATTCATCTCTCATGGATAGATATACATTACCATGATATTTCCTCTAGCGCAGCATAAGGTTATGGAACCTATTTATCTCTACTGAGCTGCATCCCCTTCAGCTTAAGGTAGAAATCATTGTACAGTTTTGATTTACCAATATACGAAGCTATACAAATCGCAACTATTCAGGAACAGGAAAGGAAGTGACAAAAAGCTTTCCTTGGGCGGCCTGCTTGAATTTGCTGGGCTACCGAAATTGCTTTCCACTAAAATGCCTAATTTTATCTAGATTTATAATTGTTTTAATCGTTCACAGTTATATCAAATGATCTATACATGAACTTGAGCGTTGATTTAAGTTGCTCCCAATTATATGCTGTGCAGATCTTCAACAGGATGACTATATACTTCAGATTATCACTTTACATGTAAAAATTCTGTATGAAGAAAATAGTATTTTCGGACTAAATATGCTGAAAACGTTTGAACCATATATTCGCATACTGTCTGAAATAGAGCTTTATTATTATCAAGAAGAGGACTAAGAGAAATAACCCTTCCCTTGCTTTCCAAACTAATGAAGGTTCGATAAATATGGTTAAAGAAAAATTGATTAAGACTTAAACTTTTTCCAATAACTTTGGTTAAGTATTCCCTAGTAATAACAGTCAGAGTTTAGCAGCTCTGAACATTGAGATAAACTATACGACAACGGTTTCTAGAGTTCAGTCCTGATAAATTCAGTGGTGCTGATGAACTGCACCCACGAGTATTATCAGCGATGGTCGAGGTAACAAATGATCCATTGTCAACACTATTCAACCAGTGAGTGACTGAGTCAGTCTAAGGCCTAAAGTGAAAGTAAAAATGATTGACCACTATAAAATGAAGACTGTAACAGAATTTAGGACAGCGGCTGCGGTGACATTGTGAAGATTATTATCTCAGCACAAGGAACAAGTTAAGCTTTTATGTATGTCTGTATATTTCGTATAACATAATATCCGAGCTACATGATACCTTATTTGGCTCTCTTGAGGCAAATATTTGCTAGAACATCACCTTAAAGTTCAAAATCACGGTGGAGTGAGTAGTCGTCTACGCATTGGAACTCGTTTCTCGTATACCAAACCACAAAAGTACTCCATTGGTTACTTCATCATTCAAACAAGACTGTGTCTTCACCAAATATAAAATCCCAATAGAAAAATAAAATCCACCAACTTATTAGTGTTAGTAACCTAAAATCTGATGTTAAGCGAACATTATTATTATATCCTTTAATTCCTAGAGGAACATAGGGCTTCAGCTGCGCATCTCCAATGCCTTCTGTTTTCTGCCAACTTTTTCACTCCGCTCCAAGTCTGCCCACATGCTTTCATCTCCTCTCCACATGACCTCCTCCAAGTCACCCTCACACTGACGACCAACTCGCCGCTTCCCTTTCGGGTTCCACTCGAGAACCTGACATGTGGTGTCATTTGATGATTTGTTTTCTCAGAGTATGGTCAGCTAATCCATCTCCATTTCTTCCTGCCTATTTGTTTTACAATCGGTTCCTGGTTGGTTCGCTCCCAGAGGTCCGTCCCTGTTTCTGATCTTTCCTGGCCGGCCATTTCATCTTGAGTATTGGGCGGAGACAACTGTTAATGAAGGTCTGAAATTTGTTTGAGACGCGCCAAGTCTCTGATCCGTATAGTGAGTAGCACTGATTTCACCTTGGAGTTGAAAATCCGGATCTTATTTTTGATGGTGAGTGCTGTTGACCACCACACAGCGAACATGGACACATACAATTCACTGGAAATCGACACAGAACACTGCAGCTGTTCGACTTACCCCACCTACATGTAGAGCAGTGCACACCTCGTTACACTGCTGGTTCAAGCCAATAGTCATCAATGATTTCATGATTCATAGTTCAACCACTCCCAGCTATTATCCATCCATAATCCTACGCTAGTTAATATTACTTGATTATGAGGAAGTCGGTGCCTCACACGATAAAAAAAACACGTGTCCTAGCCATATCTCAATCGATGTAGCTTCACAGCCTTATTCATTGACTTGCCTCCTAATGCCTTAAACTCTATATCACTCATCATATTAAACCATATTGAACACAAGAGTGAAAACACATATGTGTATATATACATATTACTTATCAAACCTTTAAAGAATACTTTTGGTTATAAAACAATAAAAAGATACACACATAAAGTGATAACAATTTTATTTAATTGTCATTATATATAGGACGAATGAATAATCAAAAGTATGAAGGTGACACACATAAACACAAGAAATTCAATGAATCAAAAAAACGTTTGAGAGATACGAATAGTGCCCCAGACAGATCTACAACATTGCGTCACCGGAATATTCCTGACTGTGAAGAACATGTTGACGAATTATTTCACAGGGAAACGGATCACTTGTAATTTACTAAAGTGAGTTGGGGAACAAAAAAACACTTGGAATACATCTACTTTCTAAAAATTTATTCAAAACTTAATTAACATTTTTTATAAATCTGAAAATTATTAGAATTTGGTATATAACATGCCCCATATACGACCTGTAATCATTGAGCTCTACGAAAAAACGTCGTCAGTACGAATTTCGCCAAGAAAATGACACGTGAATACATATTATATACTGAAGTTGAAATACATACTTTCGAATTCAGTAAGGGCAAATTTATATCTCACGCGTATGAAGCTCCTTTCTTCACATCTATAGATATAGATAAATTTTGCACAAAACTATGTACTACTGATTTGGTTAGGATGAGTAGTAGTGGCATACCACTCATTTCAACCAGCAGTGGTTTAGTAGCCAGTCAGCCAGACAGTTACATAGAGGTGATCTAAACAAACGAGTGACGTTTCGCTCGTTTGGCGTCGAGCTCATCAGTCAGCGGTGTACCTGGTTTGACGCAGCTCAGAGAAGGAGCTGAATCAGTTGAAACCACCAGATCTTTAGCTAACTACTTGGTCGAACTGGTCATGTGATAAATCAAATGATAATTTGTAAATTGGCTAGCAATTAAAAATTTAATAGTTTATACGACGGCTGGGATACCTACTGCCCAACCCACCAGTTTTTGACTTGAATTCTGATCTATAAGACGGTGAAGTTGTGTCAGACGTTCACATTCTCTTCTCAGGTTTTCTAAGTCCCTCATTACATGAAAGCAATGAATAGGACTTAACTGTCAGAAGCTATGTACTCGTGGCCGTATGAGAGCGTCTAGAGCGGCAGTGAACCAAAGTCAACCAACCCTCGAGGCTGTACCAGGTTGTTTATGGCGGCTTGCAACCAATCAACGAAACATAAATGAGGATTCATACTAATAGAAACAGTATTTTTAGATTAGACACAAAACTTGCTCTTACGTAAACTTCACTAGTGTTTTCCGACTACTCTTCATAGAAGGATAAGGATCACAGTTGTTGTCTCAGCACTATCTACCGAAGTTTGACAAGACATTTTCTCAATAGAATGTATAAAATAAATAAATTATTGCCTACCGTGCGAATCTTGAACATAGTTATTAGTAGTAAATCAAAGCAGTCCTTTTCACAAATACAAATGAAACTATCCAGAGAGAAATTATACGGAGTGAAAATCAAAGATATAAACTAAAATTCTACACGAGAAGTTTGAAGTAAACTGGTGGATGGTGATCAGCACTGGTGGAAGCCAGGATATAGCACATTTCATCTTAAGTGAGACTCGTCACTGATTGTGCCTTCATTCCCGCATGAGTGAGAGATGGTATTCCCGCGGAAGCTCGAACTCAGTACCCATAGTTCCAAATGCTAAAAACATTATCCACTAGACCACTTAGGACACTAGTAGACTGAATAATTAAATAAATATTCGCACGACTGTTGCACAAGAAAGAGGTGGCTCTCTTGGCTCAAGTGGTCTAGTGTATAACGCTTTGGCGTTTGGAACTATGGGTGATGGGTTCCGGGCCCAATGGGAAACATCACTATCAATCAATTACTAGTGAAAGCAGATACACGCAATTGGCGAAATGAACATCTTGGGTCCCCCCCACCACTGCTAGTCACCCCCTACCAATTTACTTCAAGTTAAATAACCAGACATCGTCGAAGCATCAACAGGACGTGTCAACCTGAGGCAGAATATGGAAAAGGCGCAAATTGAATTAAATAATTAGAGGATATTAGTATTTCAAAATAAGCATCAAAACAATAAACAAACCTTGACAGGTTAAGTGTTGATCGCATTGACGCATAAATTTTGAGCAGAGTTGATCCATTTTTCCAGAAATTTCTCTTAGTTTCTCTTGTGTTTTTTGCAAAGACTAAATGCGTAGAAATAGTAGAAAGATTCACTTATCAGATATCGAATTATAAAGAAAAGGATATCTAACACCCTGAAAAGAACATCCCCTGTTCCTACATTACGATTGGTAATATTAAGCCGCCCAATGTTCTTCAACAACCCCAAAGATAAACTATCTATCTATGTGCATCTACCACCAATTCACTTGCTCATGTGGAGCGAGATATATAGATCGTTCACAATGCGTGTTTTATCCAAATGAGTCAAAGAACATTATCCCGGTTGGCTACGAAAAGGTAACAGCGGATGAATAAAGAGTGATATAAATGAATATACAGTTAACACTAGTCACTCTACATACGCGGAGAATTTATTCAAAGTCACCTACAAAGTCAAAAATAGCCTCCCAAAAACGGTAAGCTTCTGTATACTTTGCATCGCTGAAGCCTCAGCGATTCGGATAGAAAACCGTGATTTATGCACACACACAGAAGAAACTTCTCCACGCCATCCTTCTACCTTGGGTTTAATTCCAAGTTCTGCGGCTTTGTTAATAATGTTTTGCATACTTTTTTGTTTTTTAATTTTAGTAACATTTTAACAAACCCTTTATTTACTCTTTCTACCTACTACATAATTTATTTTTTCGACACATGTTCCAATTTCATATTACGCAATCCTTGTCAATACTTAACAACCTTTCACCCCCCCCCGTAGTTACAATTCTTAGTATTGATCACACTTGAGAAACATTTTCATGACGTAAATAGTAAGCCTAACTAATTTTTATTTTATTTTCGTTTGACAATCCTAATGTACACAAAGAAAAACACAAATGCGATTGTACAGCTAAGTGAATGAATTTGCTGAAAAGAGAATCTGCGCTGAACTTTATAAATGTACTCAAAGTAATCTGATTTTTCTCTGTCACTGAATTGATTGATTACTTGAGCACAATATAAAGAAGGACAAAGTCTTCGATAGTGTAAATCTACTCCATAAAAATCAATATATATATATATATATATATATATATATATATATATATTAAGCATCATTGTGACAATTCAATGAAAAAGAAATGAAACAGTAGCTCGTTATTGGACTATAACCTTATTCCAGGTTAGTTGACATTATATTCTCTGAAGCAGGACAACATTTTCAACCAAACGAGCCAAAGGTTAAACAAAAATCACCCTATATCCTGACTACAAACAACAACCCGATTGAGGCTATCTTGAAATATACTGCAGAGTAGAAGGTGGAAAAAGAATAAGGATGAAATCAATGAAAATAGAAGTTTCAGAAAAAAAAATTCGAAAAATGGCTAAAAACTACTACTCAAGGTAAATTTATGCTGAGGAATCAGGTGGTTAGTTTAAAAAGGATTAGCAACAAGCAGTGCGAAAGTGGAGAGAATCCAGTCAACACGAGCTGAAAATAAAAACTTCGATACCTAAGCTGCCTACGTTGGAACACGACATAAAACCAACTACTGATAGCATTCACCTTCCGATAAAGAGAAAAGATGAACCTGCGGTATCTCACTGGATATATTGCTGAACACTTTCGGACTAAAGCATAAGAGGGGGCTTTCCCACTGTCTGTCTGTTTTCGACATAGAACTTTGCACAAATGTGCGGAAGTTCAAGTCGCCACATTCCGTGTAGCACGCGAAGCAAGAGAAGAAAGTACACGAAAAGCATAATAGAAACAGTGAGCAGAGGTGTGAGACAAAGGAGTAATAAAGAAATACAAAACAGTTTCATTGAAGATCATAAGTCACAGGGAGTGGATGCATCTGCGCCACTGAGAACGGTTTTGAGCCATGTCACAATTGTTTCCAACCATAGATTTTTACCGTCCCGAGGACCCCAGCCTGGAAGTCTACACCTTCCTACGTGGATTAGACCAACTGTTGTGGATTTCATTGACTGGTGAGGCCAAGTTTTTGTTTGACCGCCGTTAGCTTTTTTCCAGCCTGACCCTATATCCGCTAACATAGCTCGTCGAGGGAGGCGATGACCTGGCATACGTAACACATGTCCTAACCATCTCAGTCTTTGTAGCTTCACGACTACGTCGATTGATTTCCCCTTCCTACCTAGAACTCTACGCCTAACCTCAATGTTGCTCACCTTATTATGCCACTTTACACGGCTTTCCCACTAGTAAACAACAGACCACTCCATCGACGTCCGTCAGCCAGGTGGAGACAGCAGATGATGCAGTTCCCGCTTGATTCCAAGTGATACGTCTCTTCTAAAGGAGTAGATGATATGTGGATCGATAGCGCGTTTGGATAATGGACCAATTCGTTGCCGCATAGCTAGCTAGACGACCAATAGATCATCCTTTCTCACGCTGCGTAGATACTTATTTTTTATACAAAGTCTTTTGTAAATATACCTTATGTTTCACTTTGTTGTGTTTTTCGCTCAAACAGTAGGCTGAGAATACAGGTAGTTGTTGTACACGTTGTTGGCATAGAGAAGCGATGTATTCGTGATCACCGCGTTTATATATGTGCAAACCAGTATATCCCTACCAATTCAACTTCAACATTTTCTAAAATATAAAAATACTACCCAACAGATGAAAACGTAGGCTGAGGAAACATTCAAGTGACGTCAAGCACCAGATAGGCTATAGACTGGAACCCGAACGGGAGGCAACGAGATGAACTGTCAAATGATAACACCGAGATTATATGAACACGATATGAAAGATCGTAGGCAGTCGTAGAGTCAACAAGAAAATGACGAGAGAGAACTGAATGCGACAAAGATTTCCTGTCTAGGTCCTTCGTTCCACTAGGAATGAATGCTAATAACGATAATAACATGTAATATAAACAATCGAAGCATTCAAAAATACCACCCACCTTAACATGTGATTTCAAACAAGCTCCATCAATATGTGGCGGTGGTGAATGAGACTCTAATGGCTGATTAATCGATGATGGTGATGATAATCGAAATGATGCGTCGTTATCAATCCATGATGATGTTGAATGTTTAGGGTAAATGGCGGAATTGCTGCAGCTGCTGCCAACAGCATCATCAGGGATATTATTGCTGATTAAATTAGGTGAATTTTCTGAAAGGTAACATTTCAGACATCCATTTAAACTGACACTTCTTTTCATCAACTCATCAATCAATGATTGTAAATTTGATATCAGACTAGTCAAATCATCACAGTGGCTGAAAGTGAATCAAAGCAGAAAGGGTTTTACTTTGAAACTCCCCACAAAGAATTTAAAACACCTAGTCTTATTAATAAATTTCAATAGGGCTATGTTGGATAGAGGATGGAGTTTATCTAAAAATGTGTGATATATTTGAGTAATAGATATCGAACATTATGATCACCATACGCACTTGTCAGTCAAACCAATTATTATTATTGTTCCCTTGGGTTCCTAGTGGAACATAGAGCTTCAACTGCACGTCTCCACTTGCCACTTCTGTCTTCTGCTGTATTTTTCACATGCATCCATGTTAGTCCATACTGTTTCAACCCACCTTCACACGATCTCCTCCATGTCACCCATGCAACGACGTTTTACTCACCGCTTCCCTTTCGGCCTGACGCGCATGTGATGTCACCCAGCGGCCACCTCAACGAGTGTCCAATCCATCTCCACTTCCTCCTGCATATTCTTCAGTTGGCGATTGGTTCTTGTTTTGTTTGTTCCCAGCCTTAGATTTTTGTTGGTAATTCTTTCCGGCTCGGCCCGGTCATCTGATCTTCAGTATAGATCCAGCGAAGACAGTGGTTGATAAAGGTGTGTAACAGGCTGTTGGAAATATTCTTTGTGACCCGCCCGCCAAGTTTCTAATCCGTATACGAGAACTGACTTGACGTTTATATTGAAAATCCGACTGAATTTTGTTGTCGATGCTGAGTGACGAGGATTTCCCGATTCTCGATTTGACATCCTCGTCCGTCCCTCCGTTACTGTAGTTGAGACAATGCTCCATAGACAAGTGAATGAATGAAGTGACCTCTTTCAAATCCCTCCCGTTGATGGTGATTGACGTTGGATGTTGTTGCTGTTGTTGGTTGGTTATTTTCATAACCTCCGTCTTGTCTGTGTTTACATGGAATCCTGTCTTCGCCGGCTGCTTCTTCTACCAGTTTGTCGGTTTTCGCTTGTAAGTCTTCGATTGTGTGACAGTGACATCAAACATAAATCATCCACGCGCGGAATCCAGGTCTTCTAGGTTCTTCCCGTCAGTCCAGGATATTCCTGTCTTCTCGTTTCCCACTCACTGTCTGACGCATAATCCAGCCCACCACAATTAGGAATATCATTGGTGATAATAGGCAGGCAGCCTTGTCTGACTGACTCCTGTGTTTACTCCAAACGCCTTGCTGAGTTTTCCGTTGTGGATCGCTTGACATGTGCCACCGTTGTCGTACAGCTGTTGAATAAGGTTGATGAACATGTGGGCGCTCTACGCCGTAGTACTCGAGTAGTTTCAAAATTACTTCGCGGTCAACGCTGTCTGCCGAAGGCCTTCTCAAAGTCTATAAAGTTGAGGTAGAGATTTGACTGCCGTTCCATGCTTTGTTCTGTGATGATGATGCGTAGAGTTGCAATTTGGTCAATACATGATTTGCCTTTCCTGGAATCCAGCTTGTTCTGGTCGGAGTTCTGCATCCAGTGCGTCTTTTGTTCTCTTCAGGATGATGCGACTCAGGATTTTACTTGGAGTCGACAGGAGCATGATTCCTCGCCAGTTCTTGCAGAGTTCTAAGTCGCACTTCTTTGGTAGTTTCACGAGGTATCCTTTCCTCCAATCAGTAGGCACCTTTCCCTCCTTCCAGACCTTTTGCAATAATGGAGTGAGTCAGCATGTCTGCTGTAATCTCTAGGTCCGCTTTCAGTGCTTCAGGGGGTATTCCATCTGGTCCAGCTGCTTTTCCATCTTTCAGAAGTTTGACTGCATTCAAGACTTCAGCTTTCGTTGGAGGATTGGTGTCAACTTGCAGTTGTGTACGTGCTGTTGTTGGTATTTCTGGACGGGTTGCAGGTGATGGTCGGTTCAAGAGTCCTTTGAAGTGATCCGTTCACTGTTTAGTCTGTCTTTCTTCCTTGGTAATTGGGTTCAATATACATGTATAATAAAAGGCCAATTAAAATAAACAAAGTGATATGGAATTAAGGCACAGAAAGGATTATTAATTAACACAGGAAACTGAAGTCAGTTTGGAAATCAGATGTACTCCGCCGCAGCATAATGAACATCATTCAGATTCTCAGCACCAATGCCAAGTCTGGGTCAGAAACTTGGTGAACGCGTTGCGAAAAACATTTCTAACAGGCTACTGAACACTTTTAACAACACCCGCCATACGGAAGATCAGATGGTCAGATAGAAAGAACTAGCAACAAAAATACTTCAAGAACAAATCAACCAAGAGCCTACTGCTCAACAAATATGATGAAGAGAATGCATTTGCATTGGAAAAACGGTGAGGAGGCCCTCGAGTAGCAGAGCAAGTCAGGCGATACCTCTAGTGGAAGCCGAATGGGAAACGACAATTTCGGCGTAGGTCCAATGGTTACATGGAGATGAGAGCCTATGGATAATCTAGGACCTAGCTAAAGAAGACTACAGGGAACAGGACAAAAAGGAGATGTGCTGCCGAACCCTTAGGTTCAACCCAAGGGAAAAATAAAAAAATAATAACGAAATAATACGGTAAGTAGTAACAGTACTATTTTTTATTTTTGATTACAGCTTGTCTGCACACTGTATTTTGGTACAAGTATGGAATTTTCAGCATGGATATCGGTAACCCAAATTTTGCAGGCCGACCATAGATATCAGGTGTGCGTCGGAAGGGGATCGAACCTTGGATCATGTGCATGATCGACGAGAGTCCTAACCACTGTGCCACCGACGCAGCTAACGGTTAACTGTTTTTATGCACACAGGGTGGAGAGATGGTGGTTAATTTTACAGACAGGGTATTTGTACAGCTGAAGAGGACAAAATATTTACACCACTGTCTTTTGAAGGTTTTGAACCTATACTGAAGTCAGCTGGTTTCAGTGCCTACACAATCTATCGCATTCCAACAAATATGTCTATATGTGTCAAATATACCATACACAGGAGAAATTAACAGCAGAATATTAACACAAAGGCTGAATTCGATTGTATCCATGAAACTTATTATTCAGTCCTGCTTTCAATTATCGAAAAGCCAATCACATGCTGCTAGTCACCATCCTACACCAATTAAATTCTAATTACATGCCCAGACATCGTTGTCGAAGCATCTGCACAAAAAGGCCGACAGACACATGTCAACCTGAGACCGAATACTTCGGTCCAATCAATCAATGGACGGGAAAATCTAAAATTCAATTAAATAAAAAAGATTATATATACGTAACGCATTAACTTCGCTGCATCTCATAGGAAATAATGATGATCTAAAATTTGTAATTTCTTGTTGATTTTTCTATGAACCTTAAGCTACATTTAATACATTTAAAAATTAAAAATAAAAATTATCTTATGAACTTTCTTACTTTATTTGACTTGGTTCAGCAGGTGAAAGGAGCTGCTCATTATCCAATGACGGAACATTATTTGAGAAGGAATCATCACATGAAAGAGTTAACAGATTTGTACAATCTGATAAAGGTTTCACAACATGATCACAACAAGGAATATCCGGAGATATAGCACTATTATTCGATTGGAATAATAATCCAGTTGTTGTTGCTGTTGTACGAGAGCATACAGCATTTCGAGGGTTCTCTTTTGCTGATAATGGACTTTGATAAAACAAAAGAAGGGAAAAGAAACGAAGTACAAGAAACTTAGATGATATGGAGTAATGAAAATGACAATTTCCAGTCACATTATGAGTGCTAAGAGCACAATATTCAACGAAGAGACTCTTTTCAACGAATTTATTATCAAGCTGTACAATCGTAGATATATATGGTTTTTAAGAAATTATATCTGGTGAGGGAATTGTATCAAAAATGTGAACACATGAAACAATATAAGTATGAAATGCAATTAAAATATTTGTGATTATATTCATAGTTTAAGTCAAGTGGAACAAAAATTAATGTCATATATAGAATCATACATAAGGTGTATAGATTTTGGAAAGAAGTATATAAGATTAATAGATGAATATAAAATGTTACATAACATGGTGTGAAATTTGATACTATAGAATTCAATATTGTAAAGATGAAAAGTATACAAATGAATAATTTTGGGGTTAAAATGTCAAGTGAAAAAGATTCAGAGTGAGAGTCGTAATAATAATAATAATAATCGAAGTAATAAGGGAAAAGTACATAGAATAACTAAATTAACAAAATAAATAAATAAATGTCTATCCTTCAACGGCCAAGGCAGAAGTGGGTATGGTACATACTTCTTTTGTACACAAAGGTCTGGCTTAAAGGCATGAATTACCAAGGCATCCACTGTCCTTAGAAGTTTGTAATGAAGAAAAAACACTGGAAGTTAGCATGAATTCTATTTATGACCTTGAAATCATGGTCAAGGTTGACCGAGTGACAGAAGTCGATGTAGCGCGTAGGTCTATCTTAGAACACCTCATCGACTTCTGTCACTCGGTCAACCCTGAGCATGATTTCAAGGTCATAAATAGAATTCATGCTAACTTCCCACGTAAGCTGAAACCAAACGTTTGTACGAATCAGTGGATGTCTACCACCTCATCCGAACTGATTGACGCAAGAAGACTGATCCCGGCGTGCTCCGATTATGATGAGGAGCGAAAGCTGCTCAAACGAAAACTAACAAAAAGTCTTCGCTATGACTGTGAACAGTGGTGGACGACAAAAGCGAAAGAGATGAAAAAGGCATCGGCGATTGGCAACACCAGGCAACTATTTAGGCTTATCAGGGAAACAGGTGGCAACAGGCAAATGATAAGTGAAACAATCTCTGAGAAAAACGGCACCATAATCAGCTCCCAGGACAGACGACTGGAACGCTGGAAAGAGCACTATGAGGAACAGTTTAATTGGCCCACAGCCACGCTCAACCTGCCGAACATCCAACACCTCCCTGAATGGGATATAGACACAGGTCCTCCATCCCTAACTGAGGTTACAAGAGCTGTCACCAATCTGAAACTGGGCAAAGCAGCGGGACCTGATGGAATGACTCCAGAGGTATTTAAGTACGGTGGAGACAGTTAACTGTCTGCATTGACTGAGCTACTAGGCAGCGTCTGCGAATCAGAAGAAGACCCATCGGGTTGGTGTAAGTCACTGATCATCCCGATATACAAGAAGGGAGACAAGATTCCTGTGATAATCACAGGGTGATTAGCTTGACTATTATAGTATCTAAATTCCTAGGCTCAATAATCATGCGTATACTAAGCGGTCCACGGGAAGCACAGACACGAGATAACCAGACAGGCTTTAGATCAGAAGAAGGGTGTATTGATCACATCTCCACCTATCCTTCGACTGATTCTGGAATATAGCCATACTTACCGGCATGTAACAATCCTCATATTTCCTGACCTAAAAGGGGCACCCGATTCTGTCGACCGAGAGGTTCTCTGGCGATGCTTGGCTGTAAAGGTAATTCCGAGGCAATACATTACACTGACCAAGTCACTCTACTTGAACTCAGGTAGTCAGGTGAGGCCTTCCCACGAGTTGTCATCTGAAGTGGTGATGACTAGTGGTGTCCGTCAAGGATGCCCATTATCCCCATTTCTATTCAACTTCATCATAAATGTACTAATGGACTTAACCCTAAATGACTTCAGCTACTCAGGGATTGACTTGCTACCAGGAATAATCTCGTTGACTTAGAATATGCAGACGATATAGTCCTCCCTCCTAGGCGAGGACGCTGACGCGTCCAAAGTAAACAGATTGAGCACTCAAATGCATTTCGAAAGCCAAATCAGTCAATCTCATGCCCGCATCACCTCGAGAATTTTAAAATTCCAAATCCACAATTTTTTTAATGCTCTTACCAGTTAACTAATTCAAAATCTAGATCAAATAATCTTTTGATCAAAGAGTATATAGACTAACTTATCACATTATTATTATCACCAAGATTATAACGATAAAACCTCAGTGATTCTTTCTGATCGAATAAAATTCACCAAAACCAATGGTGAAACACAAACAAGACATTTCTAAAACGCCTAACAGCATATTCATCATTGGAGTGATATGTTAAAATAGTGAAGAAACATTGCAACGACCCATGGATAAAATCGTCTGCCAAAAACAATAATGAAACTTACTGACAAGGTGACCGAATCCGTGAGAGTAGTGCATCATTCGCTTTTGAAGGAGATGATCGTAATCGTGCTACCTTAGCTTCAAGGCTTTGAATTTTTCGATTTTTTCGAATAACCTGTCACACACACACACATACAAAAAATATATATACTAATCAGTAAGTAATCAGTAGTATAGTTACACACATTGTTAGGCAGTTGAAAAAGGACATACACTACCTACCTGTTCACGCAAATCTTCAACTTCTTTCAGTGTAATACTGGCACGTTCTTTATCCTGTTGAATAACACTGCGTAGTCGAGCAACTTCTTCCAATGCAGACTCCAGTTTTCTAAAAGGAGAGAAAACTTCTAAGAATTTTGCATGGAAATATGACTAATTGACTTTTAGGAGCGAAATAGAATAGGGAAAAAAGGCAACTTTTAACATGATGATTGAACAACTCTATATATGAATAGAGAGTAACACTATAAGTTCTCATGAAACCTGACACGTATCAACAATTTACTCTTCGAAACGAGATTTAAGAAATCCTGTACACTCAGGTATACAGATAGGATGTAACAGTAGAACTTTGCTCCTAGAAGCTCCCATGGACACTATCAGTATGATTGTCAAAAGAAGCAGGCAGAACTGCAAGTAGCTTTAATTCTGAAGAACATTATTACCTCCAGACATGTAGCATCAGCAGAGACTTAATCCAGAGTTAAACACGACCAAGTTGTTCAAAGGAATTTCGCTGACATTTTCGCCATCCAGCCAAAAAAAACAGGAAATGAATACTTATAGTTAATCGTGGAACCAGCTGACTGAAACAGCGGTTTCAACGTAGAACTTTGCGCAGGTGTTCACCAATTCGAGTTGCCACTCCTACTCCATGTACCACACAAAGCAAGAGGAGTGAGTAAAGAGATATTCAAAAGAGAGATAATAAACAGGAGTATGAGTGACGGAAAACGAATAGTAATATGGAAGAACAATAGAGTTTTATGGGATATGATAAATCACAAAGATTGGATGAATCCGCGTTATCCATTGACCACGATTTTGAGGCATAACACCAATTGCCTCCAGCTGTCATTCATCGGGTTTTATCATCCCGAGGACTCCGAACAGTCAGGAAGTCTGCATCTCCCCCCCCCTACGTGACTGGTTTAAACTAACAGACAATGACTGGTCAAGCCACATTTTGGTTTGACTACTACCAGTAGCTCTTTTCAAACCTGATCCATCCTATGTCAGCTAACATTACCCGTCGAGGAAGGCAATAGCTTGCCATAAACACGTAACACATCTTCCAACCACATCGCATTGAAATTAGTTGAATAATACTGTAGAGAACGGAATTAAATGGAAATGTATTACTGAAATACAATGCTCCACTAGAAACTCAAGAGAGTAACAATAAGAATAAATCTTACTACGTGAGCAATATTGATTGAACGCATTAAAAACAGACGCATATGATAAATTAAAAAAAAAATTCAAATCATAGTAAAGTCCATTTTAAACGCACTCAGTTCTTTGAATTAATTTCTCTTTAATCTCGAATGCTGCTGTCCGTAATTCACCATATTTTCGTAGTCTTAAATTGTTTGCACAGCTGACTGAACCGTTATCAGTTGCTTTATCAACACCTAAATCGATCATCGAAATTTCTGTTCCAACGTCATGAATGCGATCAAGACTTAATACTATCGGTGAAGTTTGTACATTAATTAATTCATGTTGACCAGGACAGTTTATATGCTCTTGACGTAGACGATATAATTCCTGTTCAATTTCTTCAGTGAACTCTTGGTTACCTTTTACTGTCTCCGTAAGCATTTTAATATTAGCATCTCTGCTATGGATAGTATTTTGTAATCGATCGATTTCAGCATTTCTTTCAATAAGTTCATTGTGTATATTATTGTACTTAACTTCCCATTCTTTACTCCTTTTATCAGCTATACTAGAAATATTTCGATAGGAGGTTAGAGAAGAACAAATCTCCGCTATATCATCACTTAAATTGTCCAGCTCTACAGATTTTGCTAATGCTTCACCAACAATCTTTCCAATGCACTGAAATTCTTGTTCATATTTCAAATTTTTCAATTTTAATTCATTACATGAAGTTTCTGCTTCGCGTAGACTTTTCAAAACATTGTTATGCACCGTTGTTGAAGGTATTATACACGTCTTCACAATTTCTTCTAATCGTAGTTGACAACTCTTTAAACGATAACAATATTCAGACAATTTCTCCTCCATAGATTTACTATCTTCTTCTAACTTTTTAAATTTATTCAGACATGTAGACAGAGAAGTTTTTGTCACCGCATACAGTTGCTCCATATCATTCAGTTGATTTTGTGTCTCATTGAACAGATCAATAAACCAGTTAACATAATCAGAAATGCTGTGTAAATCATTATTATCATTATCTGAAGTCAATTGTTTCAATAAATTGATTGCTTCTTTCCTGTCCAAATGTAAATCTCTAATTAAGTCACGTAAATTAGACGATTCACTACTAATTAATTCGATACACTTTGTTAATGAATCCGGTATTTGTTGAACATCAAAAGTGGAAGTAGAAGAAGAAGCCAGACAATCTTTCATTGCACTGAAAGCATTCTCTTTATCGATTTGCATAGAATTTATCCTATTCTCTTGTTCATGAAATTTATTCAAAATACCATCGATTAATTCATTCAATGAAACTGATTTTTCAATACACAATAAAGGTTCAAAAGATGATGATATCAACTTCATTTTACTCTTATAGCATTCAACTTCACTATAAACTTGATCTAATTCTAATCTCAAGGAATTCACTTGTTCTTCTAATTGATGATAATCATCCTTGGGGATAGAATCGTTAAAACGCTTTTCAAATTCATTAATTTGATATTGTAAATCTGTTATTAGTGTACGTGAAGCGAATATCTCAGCGACGGTAGCATCAATAAGTTCAGTAATTATCATTTTTGAATGACAGTTATTATTTTCTTTATCATCGCCATCATTATTATCGTGATAGTCTAATAAACTTAATTTATTCAAAATGTAGGCATGATCAAATTCTAGTGATTGTATCAATTCCTGTTTATTAGCTAATTCAATTCTTATTAAGTCAAGTTCATGATTTTGATCATGATACTGGTGTTCAGTAGTATCCGTATCGTTACTTTCAAACTGGATTGATTTATTCTCAGTCAGTTGATTATGATTATGGTTATTATTATTATCATCATTAGTGTCTGGTGTAGTATTTACAGTTTCACATTTATTATCACCTGTATCACTTGAAGGATACGATAATTGACGATGCAGGGATCTGTATTCCGTCTAGAGAAAAGAAAAGCAATAATAATAATAATAATAATCTAGAGTTGAAATACGAATTTAAGGTCATGTGAAATACACTACACACAGGATATATATATATATATATATATATATAAATTCAATGTTACTATACTAAATTACACAATGCATTCATTTCGATATATTCAGAAGTGGTACACAGACACACGTACACACACATCCTGATGTAGGTGTAGAATGTGGGCACCTTGTGGTAGAATATGATGCCATATAAGATAACTTTATTTGATAAAACACACAAAGATAAAGAAAGCATTAATATCCACATGCTTGGATATTAATGCTTTATCTTTGGATCTGGCGAAAGGGTGACGGATGGGATTCCCAACCGTATAAGGAAGGCTAGGGTGGCAAACATCAACTTGAGCCACTCATGGCGTCGTCACGATGTTAGCCTGGCTGTCAAACGCTGGGTGTACAATGCTTCGGTGCCGGCTGCTCTGCTCTACACCTGTGAAACGTGGCCTCTCCGAGCTGAAATGTGCGGCGACCCTGCGTGCTCAATCATCGCTGTCTCCGCAGGATTGCTTGCGTTCGATGGAATCATCGTGTGAGTAATTCTGTGGTTCGGGCGGCGTGTGTTTGACCACAGTGGAGATCATAATTCATTCAGTGTCATCATCTGGAAACACAGGCTCCGGTGGCTTACACATTTGCTGCGAATGTCATCCCAAAGGCTTCCGTACAGGTCTCTGTTCGCTAGCTAGCCCTCGGACGGGATTGAAAAGGCGGAAAGGTGGTCAGTCCATGGGGTGGCGTCGTGGGATGAAGGATTTTTGTGCTAGATTAGCATCGGTTGGTGTGTCACGACTCCCTGGTTGGGGTCCGAGAGATAGCTCGAAACGTTATCGGATATGGCCAAGAATCTTGATCAATGGCAATTGTGTTGCAATTTCCTTCTTTCTTCCCTTCCCGATGACAGTTAACGAATACTGTTTGAACTTGTTAAGCATGACTGTTTTCCTTCCAGATGAAGTTCTTTATCCGTTCTCTACTTATATATATATATATGATCTATGTTGTTTTATTATAATTAATTAATTATATTTATTATCCTTCTTGGTGCTATATTGTACCAAGTTTTCTCTGCGTTTAAATAAATAAATAATTAATATCCACATGCGCTTTCTGGCCTTACACCGATTAAGATGGTTAACAGACGTGTTGCACATGCCTAGCCATTGATCGTCTACCTTAACGGAGAATGTTAACTCACATAGGCCGGATAAGGCTTCAAAAGAGCAAGTGGTTGTGGTCAATCGGAAACATGGCTTGATCAGTCAACAAAATCCTTGGCACTTAGTCTAAACCAGTCACGTACGGGGGGGGGGGGAGATGTAGACTTCCTGACTGTTTGGAGTCCTCGGGATGGTAAAACCCGATGAATGACAGCTGGAGGCAATTGGTGTTATGCCTCAAAATCGTGGTCAATGGATAACGCGGATTCATCCAATCTTTGTGATTTATCATATCCCATAAAACTCTATTGTTCTTCCATATTACTATTCGTTTTCCGTCACTCATACTCCTGTTTATTATCTCTCTTTTGAATATCTCTTTACTCACTCCTCTTGCTTTGTGTGGTGCATGGAGTAGGAGTGGCAACTCGAACTGGTGAACACCTGCGCAAAGTTTTACGTTGAAACGAGTTAGTTTGTTTCCGACCAACCTACATAACTGAGGAATATTGATGCACCAATGACTTCGAAAGAGTACCATTCATCGGATTACAGAACTACTTGCCGTTGTTACCACGCCAGTATGAACCCTAGGCATGAACTGATGTTTAAATTTCATTCTGATCTCGTTTTAAAGTACTATTTGGACAATGAGTCGATAACACGTTGGGGTCAGAACTGTGGTGTCAGGATTTTAATATAAACTGACATCTATTAGAGAGGCATTGAAAAACCAGCAGGGAGTACTGCAAGGCTATTTCGTCCCACTTCTCCGAAACTGATCGTAGGTATGCACCCATCGGCAGGGTTTCAACCCAGAACTAACTTCAGGTTACAACGCAGGCATTCATGACTAGTGCATGAACTTCAATTCAAACCATAGCGCGACCACTACCGAATGTCATCTGTGGCGGGTATTTGCCTTCACACCCGACCAGAGGTAGTCACACTGGTCACGAATTCTCACTGACTGAATGGTGGCAGTCTCTAGTGCTGGTTTGAGAAGATAGGTTTCACAGTTATTATACACATTTTCTCTGTAAATAAATAAACAGAACTTTTAAACTAATACTCTTCATTGTAATTGGAAAGTGTTTCACTGTAAATCGCCGTATATCTGGTAAAGACATTTATCCTAACTTAACTAACTCTGTCTGTCTGGATTCAACATACAACTTGCCATCCAAGTGCACCAGTTCCAGTTGCCACGTTCCAAATACCACACAAAGGTAGACAAGAAGATGAGTGAAGAGAACCAATGGAGTTTGACAAATGTAAGAGTAAAACAAAATGGGTAATGGTAGAAAGAAATATGAAAGATCACAGAGACTGAATACATCTGCGCTGGCCATTGAAAACGATTTTGAGCCATGTCACCTATTGCCTCCAGCCATTGATTCCTAGAGTCCCGAGGGCCCCAACCCGGAGTCTGCATCTCTCTACCAACCTGACTCAGTTTAACTGTCAAGGATTTCATGGATTGATGGGATGTTTTTGTTTGGCCACCACTTACTCTTTTCCAACCTGCATCTATATCAGCTAGTAATTCCCGTCGGAGGAGGCGATGGTTAGGCATGCGCACCACATGACCTAGCCATCTCAATCTATGTAACTTTATAGCCTCGTCGATTGATTTTCCCTCTTTGCCCAACACTCTACCCGTAAACTTAACTAAATATATCTACTTATTAATACTTTGACTAAACGCAATGAAATTACTGAGCATTTTTCGAGATTATTTAATTGAGCAGCGTTAATCATTCTAGCTCTAGTTGAATTCCTGTGCTGCAATAATCTAGTTGACCACGGTGTATCAGTTTAACCTATGTAATTATTTATTTATTTTTATTTTTGATCACAGCTTGATCCCACACCGTATTTTTGGTACAAGTATGGAATTTTCAGCATGGATATCGGTAGCCCAAATTTTGCAGGCCGACCGTAGATATTGGGTGTGCGTCGGCAGGAGATCGAACCTCGGACCATGTGCATGGTTGGCGAGAGTCCTATCCACTGTGCCACCGACGCACACTGATGGTAATTACAGGGCTACCGGATCTTATCGGATCTATAAATCAACAGATTTTGTCTCTAAGTGACTTTGTTAGTTGGATGGTTTAAATGTCACCCTAATTCCAGCCTTACTAAGCACTTCATTTAGAGCTTTTGATGTTCCTTCTTTATATTGTAGTATTATCGACGCCAGGAAGAGAAATCACCATGGGTCGTGAGGCCCTCGGCGAAATGAACGACAATGGTGAACTCTTCTCAGACTTCTGCGCCTTCAATGATTTGGTGATTGGTGGTAGTGTGCTCAAACACAAGGATATACACAAGACGACATGGATTTCACCAGATGGAAACACTAGAATCAAAGAGACTTCATCTCAATTTCAAGAAAGTGGAGACGGAGCCTACTGGACAAAAGGTCGAGGAGAGGAGCAGATGTAGGTTCAGACCACTATCTAGTAGAAGGGACTTTCAAAGTGAAACTAAAAGCCTCGAGGATAGCTGGGATAGGCCACAATGCAAGTTCAACACTCAGAAACTGAAGGACACAACCACAAAAGACACTTCACTGCAACTGTCAGAGCAAAGCAGGAAACACTACGCGACATCACTGAAGAATCATGCGTGGAAGAACATTGGAAGTCTCTGAAGGCGATTCTCAACGAAACGTGTTCAACGGTTCTAGGAAGAAAGAAGAGACAAGACAAGGAATGGCTCTCAACGGACACTTGGAAATTAATAGAAGAGAGGAGAATGGTGAAAGAGAAAATGATTCAATGCAAGGACGGACAGGAGAAGGAGACGATGAGCTCAACTTACAAAGCACTGGACAAAGAAGTGAAGAAGAGTGCTAGGAAGGACAAAAGACGATTCTACGACAATCTAGCTACTGAAGCTGAAAAGGCAGCAGGCAAAAGGGACCTGAGGACACTATATCAGATAACCAAATCTCTATCCAAGAAGAGATCAACACATATGAACCCTATAAAAGAAGGCCAAGGGAACCCAATCACCAAGGAAGAAAGACAGACTAAACAATGGGTGAATCACTTCAAAGGACTATTGAAACAACCATCACCTGCAACCCGTCCAGAAATACTAACAACAGCGCGCACACAACTGCAAGTTGACACCAATCCTCCAACGAAAGCTGAAGTCTTGAGTGCAATCAAGCTTCTGAAAGATGGAAAAGCAGCTGGACCAGATGGAATACCCCCTGAAGCACTGAAAGCGGACCTAGAGATTACAGCAGACATAGTGACTCTATTACTGCAAAAGGTCTGGAAGGAGGGAAAGGTGCCTACTGATTGGAGGAAAGGTTACCTCGTGAAACTACCAAAGAAGGGCGACTTACGCCTCATTCTGCAAGAACTGGCGAGGAATTATGCTCCTGTCGACTCCAAGTAAAATCCTGAGTCGCATCATCCTGGAGAGATTAAAGGACACACTGGAGACAGAGCCCCGACCAGAACAAGCTGGATTCAGGAAAGGCAAACCATGTACTGACCAAATCGCAACTCTACGCATCATCATCATCACAGAACAAAGCATGAAATGGCAGTCAAACCTCTACCTCAACTTTATAGACTTTGAGAAGGCCTTCGGCAGACAGCGTTGACCGCGAAGTAATTTGGAAACTACTCGAGTACTACGGCGTAGAGCGCCCACATGTTCATCAACCTTATTCAACAGCTGTACGACAACGGTGGCACATGTCAAGCGATCCACAACGGAAAACTCAGCGAGGCGTTTGGAGTAAACACAGGAGTCAGTCAGACAAGGCTGCCTGCCTATTATCACCAATGATATTCGTAATTGTGGTGGACTGACTGGATTATGCGTCAGACAGTGAGTGGGAAACGAGAAGACAGGAATATCCTGGACCGACGTGAAGAACCTAGAAGACCTGGATTCCGCGCGTGGATGATTTATGTTTGATGTCATTGTACACAATCGAAGACTTACAAGCGAAAACTGACAAACTGGTAGAAGAAGCAGCCGGCGAAGACAGGACTCCATGTGAACATAGACAAGACGGAGGTTATGAAAATAGCCAACCAACAACAACAGCAGCAGCAACGTCCAGCGCCAATCACCATCAACGGGAGGGATTTGAAAGAGGTCACTTCATTCATTCACTTGTCTATGGAGCATTGTCTCAACTACAGTAACGGAGGGACGGACGAGGATGTCAAATCGAGAATCGGGAAGGCGAGAAACACATTCATCAACCTGAAATCAATCTGGAAATCTTGATCACTCAGCATCAACAACAAAATTCTGATTTTCAATACAAACGTCAAGTCAGTCAGTTCTTCTATACGGAACGGATTAGAAACTTGGCAGGCCGGTGACAAAGAATATTTCCAACAGCCTGTTGCACACCTTTATCAACCACTGTCTTCGCTGGCTCTATACTGAAGATCAGATGACCGGGCCGCCGGAAAGAATCACCAACAAAAATTAAGGCTGGGAACAAACAATGCAAGAACCAATCGCCAACTGACGAATATGCAGGAGGAAGTGGAGATGGATTGGACACTCGTTGAGGAGGCCGGTTGGTGACATCGCGCTTCAGGCCATTGCTCGAGTGGAACCAGGCCGAAAGGGAAGCGGTGAGTGGAACGTCGGTGCAAGGATGACATGGAGGAAATCAAGTGAAGAGGAGTTGAAACAGTATGGACTAACATGGATGTATGGGAAAAGTACAGCAGAAGACAGAAGTGGCAAGTGGAGGCGTGCAGTTGAAGCTCTATGTTCCACTAGGAACCCAAGGGAGCAGTAAATAATAAAAAATAAAATAAATTATCGACGCCTTTAGGTCCCTTATCATTTATATTATTTCCATTATTTACATTTATTCGCTAGATGTGTATTCATAAATCTGAAATCTAGTTGGTAGCTCTCTCTCTCTATCCACTGTTGTACTGCATTTTCACCTACACATTAAGGGTGCAATAGAGTAGGTGTTAAAAAAGTAAGAGTGAACAGAAGCTAATTCTTGATCCTTGTTAGTGACCGGATACAAGGTGAATTTGCTTGGAGTTCTAGTGAGACGTTGCGACCAGTAAGGAAAAATACCCACCTACAATACTGGCTAGTGTGCCAGAAGCGTAACACAATCACAAATTAGAAGAAGTCGGATTTCATGGGCTGCACATTGAACTGCCAGTCCTAGTTGTTGAGTGGTCTATGAGCTTGCTTGTCTTGCGAAGCAATCGTCCTCCTTCTCTACACATCTTCAGTGCAAGCATCAAACATGAAGTCCACTTAAGTGATTTCTACAATCATGAAAAAAAGTTGACAAGAGATGCATTGATGTCATTCCTGGAAAATTCAAATAAGTTCGTTTCATATGAAAGCTTACACCGAAGATGGTATCTGGAAAGATGACGACAGCTTCGCAATCAAATCGTCCATTTCAACAAGTAATTTATCCTACTATACAAATCATTAGAACATTCATTGTTAAAAGGTTAAATGGATGACAGCATTATAACGTGAATAAATCCATAAACAAGTGTGAAAATCTTACTTCTAAATTGTGGTTTTCCTCTTGTACGCGTGCCAACTTCTCCGTGGCTTCTTTTAGTTTGACTGCCAACTGTTCATGTTCTCTCATCATATCGCATAATTTTCTCTCTAACTGTTTGCAATATTGATCCGATTGATTAGAACCTTTTCTAAGTTTTATTTGTCAAGGAGAAGAAGTACAAATTATGAAAAACCAAAATACCGAAAATTACTTCAAAGAATTAAATAGACAAATGTGAATTAATTCGAAAACTCTGAATATGTGAGAAAACAACATAAACAACGATAACCTTAAAATTATCATTATTTGACATAATTTTCATTTTATTTATAAAAGTGTTAAGTGTAGTGGCGATAGAGGTATGACGGGAAAGAGAACTCCAAGATGATAACATAAGACCGCCCTTCCTGATTTAACTTATTACGTTATTATTTCACGCTACCTGTGACTGCTATCTTGACATAGTGGTCAAGAGCTGTATTCGTCGGAACAAACGTCCCACCAGGTCATAGCATGCCAGGAACATCAGTTGTAGAGAGAGAGAGAGGTTACACTGATATTTGTCATCACAAAAGTTCGGGATTTTAAGAACACGTCAAAGGTTTGACGGTGAAGTCGTGCTGTTGGCCAGCACAACAATTATATAGAATTCCTACTCGGCAGAGGAAGCATTAGAAAAAGTCGAGATTTTGAATACTTCACACTCTGACTTCCCGCACACGGGGTGTGTTCAGAACTACACCTCCAAATTAGCTGTATGTGAAAAGCCTTGAGCAACTGTCCCTTGAGTTTTGTGGTCACAACACAACACCTATGCTTTTTCGCTTTTAGATACGCTAAGAAGTTATCAACTCCTATGGTGTATAGGCAGCCGGGAAGTAATGACCACTCAAAGAATTCCATCTGCATATAAAGTTTTGTTCTTCATCAATTACCTTCTTCTTACTCTCCTCACACAATTAACCCTCCGTTTGCCGCTAACTTTATGGCACACACTGACAAACTGAATTAAAGTAAAATGAAATCTATTTACTTAGAAGTGCACTCCTAACTTCACACTGCAGCTCTCAACATTTGGACTTTATGCTGACTTCACAGGAAATGCCCCACTAGCCAAATATCCTCCATCTAAGAATTTGGATGTGTTGTATTCCTGGGATGTGTAAACAAGAAAGCATACTCAATTAAACCGCACCTGACCAAAATGATCAGTCAACAAAATTCTTTCTACTGGTGTCAGCATATCCTTTGCCTGGGTCTCATGGAATTGATGATGTAGGCGATAACCGTCTGCCTAAGAGAACAACCCCCCCCCTCCCAGTCAGGCTGAGTCATCCGTATCATGTCTAGCTGGACGGAACCGTGAGGAGAACCAGTAGTGAGTGGCCTTGATACTCATCGGTGTCTATATGTGCTGACTTGAACTTCAGGTATTGTTATTCTGCGTGAATAACGAAAACTTGAATGATGACTGAATCAACACTATTTTATAAGTGAATACCTGAAAAGAAGCAAAACGAAAAAAACTTACTGTGAATCATGCCCAACAGATCCATACAATTGATTCGATTTAATTTCATTTCCATTATGCGCAAAGAAATCGATAGAATCATAATCAGGCGTCACAATAGCATCATCGAAATTGTCACTGGCATTAGTAATTTGAGATGAATTGTGTGTTTGTAAAGAGTTTACAATATTACTGGTATCTTTTGGTCCTCTACTAGCCTTGATATCAAATGACTGATTCTGATCCTGAGCTGAATAGATCTGTGAAGCATCAGCACAACTGGTCGTCAATAAAGCTGACAGATTATTTTTGATATCAACATCCCAAAAGGCGGAACTGACATCTGAACACTCATCAATAGCATCCCGCAACTTAGCCATCTATAAACAGATGAAACAGACAGAATAGAATATGACACCCACTATCGTGAGATTTTCAGTGTCAAATTACGCGATAACATAATCAACACGGGTGAAAGATACACAATATATGTGTATAACTTGGGCACTGTGGTAGTAATTCCATATTAGTTTGTTTATTAGATGTGTCACACAGTGATGGAACAGTATTATTTACTGGATGACAAGGTTTCGAACAAAATTTATTGTTCATAATCATTTCATCAATTGTAATCACACGACTTTGAAATTTTAGTTTTATAGTTTTCTTTGTCGTAATGGTAGTGGATATTTCCATATATCTGGGACAGGTGTTCAACCATTCCTATCACACGTATAGTCTTCAGTCGATTCGATAAACATAGCTTTCGTTATCAATCGGTCCCGCCATTCACCCTGTGACAGATTTTGAGACCGTCATCCTATCCCATCCTATTGTATGGCTGTGTGTAACTGCATGTAATGAGTGGAATAGCTGAACTATTCTCTAGATTTCTTATCTTTATTGGGTCAACCAATCTAGATTTTGCTGTTTTTATGTTCGGCTAGTCTGACTGTCCCTGTTCTACTAGTTTGACCTATGTATTTGACCTGACAATCACCGCAGACAGGGTATTAGATAAACTAAATTGTTTTGTTTTAAAGGCTCCACACAGTTAATCCTTTGACCGACAAAGCTTGTTTCCAATTGAGTTTGTGGGAGTTTTGAATGCCCACCACTTTTATTCCTGTCTTGTTAAGAATTCTGCATAAGGCTTCCGAGTTTCCTTCCTTGTATGGAATTACTGTTGGTGATTTAGATTCCTTATTGTTGGTGTCGTCATTAATATTATTATTATCACTGTTATTATTATTACCATTATTATTATTATCATTATTATTGTTGGCATTATTATTATTATCATTACTATCACTATTATCATTATTTATTTTATTTTTACATTTACTTACATATTTCTTGACTAATTTATCCGGGTAATTATTAAGTTTCAAGGCTTCTTTCATGTGTATCACTTCCTGGCTTAGATTTTCCTCGGTACTACTTAGTTTTTCTGCTCTGTCATTTAAACATTTCACTTTTTTTCCTTCATGTTCTCCAGTGGACCATAGTGCCTCAAGCTAGGGTTTGAAGTTTCTTGTAGCAGTGTTTAATTTTACAGGATGAGGTTGCTAGCCTCATGCCCAACCTTTCCTCTTTACCAGTATTATTTCTGGCTTAGCGAGGTAAAGGAGTGCGTCAGCCGGGGATCGAACCCCGGACAATGTGCACGGTCGGCGAGCATCCTAACCGCTATACCACCGACGCAAAGTAAGCCGGAAACACCCGGTATTCCCAGCCGGTCACCATTGAAAGTACTAACCGAGCCCAAGGTTGCTTAACTTCGGTGATCGGACAAGAACCGGTGCTTTCAACGTGGTATGGTAGCCAACAAACATTTCACTAATCCTATTTTTACTGACATAGGATGGGATGATCGGAAATCCAAATATCTGTTTGAGTGTGTGGGTTTTCTCTAAACACTAGTGTATAGCTTCCCATCTTTCCTTTTTACGTTGCAATCTAACATTGGAAGCTCCCCTTCCTGACTTTCCAGTTCATAAATGAATTGAATTGCTTCTACCTTGGAGTTGATGTGTTCGAAAAATCTATCTATATCTTGTGTTCTAAGTACAGTGAATGTGTCATCTACATACCTCCAACAGACTTTTGGGGTGGGGGTGAACGTTTCAATCGCTATCTTTAAAACAAAACAATTTAGTTTATCTAATACCCTGTCTGCGGTGATTGTCAGGTCAAATACATAGGTCAAACTAGTAGAACAGGGAAAGTCAGACTAGCCGAACATAAAAACAGCAAAATCTAGATTGGTTGACCCAATAAAGATAAGAAATCTAGAGAATAGTTCAGCTATTCCACTCATTACATGCAGTTACACACAGCCATACAATAGGATGGGATAGGATGACGGTCTCAAAATCTGTCACAGGGTGAATGGCGGGACCGATTGATAACGAAAGCTATGTTTATCGAATCGACTGAAGACTATACGTGTGATAGGAATGGTTGAACACCTGTCCCAGATATATGGAAATATCCACTACCATTACGACAAAGAAAACTATAAAACTAAAATTTCAAAGTCGTGTGATTACAATTGATGAAATGATTATGAACAATAAATTTTGTTCGAAACCTTGTCATCCAGTAAATAATACTGTTCCATCACTGTGTGAAGGAGTAACTGTCCAGATAGAATTTGTATGTGATTTGTGGTACATCTTGATCTTCAAAGGTTTTATCAAACTAGGAAATGCATGAGTATATTGATTCAAAAAATGCTGATAATTTATATCATAAACAGAACTCACAGCACAAGCCAGACGTTCAAATATATCTCGATGCTCCAACTCTACAATGGTTATTTCTCCAACAGCCACCAAATCTCCAACACGTCTAGTCATCAATGTATCACCATTATTCTCACCAACATCAAGATTGCAACTTAAACCTTTGGAAAGCATTGACTCTTGTAAGGAACTATCCATATCCCCGGCACAAAAAGTTGTGGAACCAATAAGATTTTTATCTCTATTTTTAATGTGTGGTACACAACTCATTTTTGGCTTCAATGATAATCCTTTGATTTTATGAACAGCTTTTTGAACTAGTGGTTTACTGAATTTCTTATTGAGGCGGGTAATAATTTCTCCTTCATGGTGACGACGAACAGGCGACTTCGGACACCCTCCCCATAATTCAGCGACCGTCTGATTTAAGCCAGATTCATCATGAAATTCTTTAACCTGTGAGTCAGCAGAAACCAAAGAACACCTGTCTACTGCTAGCTCTATACTTTGATGAACTCCGTTAGGGTGTGAAGATACCTTGCCATGATATTCTTCATTATTTACTTCTGAAGAATTAAAATTTACATGGTTATCAACTTTATCTTGAACAGGAGATAAACGTATAGACGCATCAATGCCTGCGGTGGATAAACTACGATTGATCATCTCAACAAATGAGTGCTGAAATTCAATGAAACAAAGTAAGAATACATCGAAAAAAAAATTCACTTATGTTCAACAATAACAAATTTTACAATAATGTAAAGAATGAACCATACTCATACAATGAATTACAACATGAAAATGTATGTATTTTGAAAACTGATCCTGTATCAGAGTGCCTGAAAAAAAATGCTTCATAAATCGACCATAAGAAGTCTAGTATCTCACAGATTTTATCACACCTGAGCATTTATTCCCATCAACTTTCTAATTGTTTATAGTGATGCTTTGATATACCATCATTTTGTAAACTTTTAACAGTAGCTGAGAACTCATAGAAGTGTAAGAAGTAGAATTAAGAAGACCAGGACTTTGCGGACAATTTATGTCGAATGTCACGCAAACTCCAAGACTTATAGGGGAAACAAAGAGCACTAAAGATAGGACTGCAGAAGAACAGAAAAAACAGGGGGATAAAGATGCCTGATGACCAGATATTATCAACATGGAAAATTTGAAAGAGGTCACCTCTCTCGTTTATCTAGGCAGCATCGATTCAACTGCAGACGACAACAACACGAATGGAGATGCCGAAACTAGAATCAGAAAGGCAAGACAGATAAATCTTCATCAATCGAATAAACAACGAAATTCGGATTTCCAACACAAATGTTAAGTCTGTCAGTGACTTCTTCTATATAGGTCAGACACTTGGCCATCGCGTCACGAAAAGCATTTCCGAAAGGCCACTCTACAAACCTTCATCATCAGAGACTTCCGTTGGCTCCATATTGAAGATCAGATGGTAGGACAGAAAGAATTAGTAGCAAGAAACTTTTGGAAATTAACCAATCAAAAACTTGTTGTCGAAGAAATGTGCAGAAGGAAATGGTGGTGATGGGCCGGACACACGCTGAGAAGACAACTAAGTGATGTCGCACACCACGGCATTGCTCGAGTGGAATTCGAGTGGGAAACGACAAGTTGGGGGGGGAGCTTGAGGGTGACATAGGAAAGATCGCGTGAGGAGAAGATGAAAGCTTGTGGGGAAGTCGTGCCGCCAGCTAAGGAGGACTACAGAGAACAGAAAAAATAGAAGTCATGTTGAAACCCTATGTTCCACTAGGAATCCAATGGACTAATAATAACAATAATAATAATATTGATGTAACTTAAGATTTACCTGCGTGAAACGAACACTGTCTAATCTGATTTTTAAATCATGTACAATATCATAGAGATTACGTAATCGAGATAAGGACTGAGGTTCATTTGATACATTCATTGAACTAGTGTGTTCAGGAGTGAATACACCCACTTGCGATTTCTCCTTATCTTCCTTGTCTTCTTCGCCTTCTTCATGTGTTTCTTGCTCTTCAGGAATGACAGTGATAGGATTGAGCAATTCAGAAATCATTAACTAAAAATACGAAAAAAACTCTGCTGTAAATCATCAGGAAGATACACAAAATACAAAGATTCTAATTAGAAGATAAAACAAAAAAATATATAGAGCTATAACAAAACTGGTGTTTTTAATACAGCCGATTAAACATCATTTCGAACACAAATCAGCAAAAAATCAACAAATGTGAGATAACTTATGATTCAGACGGTTGCTTGGATAATCGAAATCCTAAAGAATGCATGAATTTGCCCCACTGAGCCGAGTGTCACCAACAGTCTCTAGTCTTTGGTTCTTAGAGTCTCACAAGGTGCTCTACGTCGCAGTCAACCAGAATAATACACTCACAAGGCGCTTACGAATTGATTCCAGGTTTCGGTTTATCCACACTTAACTCTTTTGTAATCGAATTCTATATCGACTAATATTGCCCGTTGAGGAAAGCAATAGCTTGGTCTAGCCTTATTAATGGATGACAATGCCACACAACCTGATTATCGATTATTTTGACACCACCACTGTGTATTTTAATGTGGATTTTGACAGCCAACAAAGCATGTATGTTAAGAGAAATAGATGTCTTTACTTACAAAGCCTCATGCACTTAACAAGTGGAGACAGAAGTAGGAGTTTAAAATATTAGTGGACATCTGTTACCCGAAATTCTGACTTAGTGTAAGCAAACTATATATATATTTCCCGGAAAAACTTCCACCCTGCAAAAATTTTTTGACTTCCACTACTACTCCCACAGAGTACGAAGTCAACTAATAGCTACAAAGCAAACAGAATGTGCAGCATACGGATGTTGCTTTAAATCTGTTGATTATATATATTTATTGTCCGTGAAAATAAAACAAAAGTTGAAGACGTGTTAATAAAATTCAACTCATAGTATCCTATAGTAAAGGTTTTTGTATTTCCCAATGAATGAAAAACAAAACGATATTGTTTTTACTGACGTTTCGCTATTTAATGCTGCTAATAGCTTTCTCAAAGTATTATTAAACCGGAATTTACAAAATCTCAGAATATATATAACAAAGAGGTAAGAGGTGAGAAAATAGACTTAGGTCAAGTTAAAAGGACATATTGAAGGTCAAAATAACAATGAAGATCACAAAACCAAATAACAAAGGTATAAGTACGTCTGTTATGATATCAAAACAAAGTTTACTAACTTGATCATCTTTCGTCAGTCTGAGTTCATTTTTTGTTGTCAAGTTGGTCAACTGGTAAAGATAACAAAATCAAGTGTAGATTGTTGAATTTTATCAGTGTGCAGAATTATTATTGTTATTTTTATAAATTTGGATTCCACTTGATATATGAAGTGCTTCTGATATTAGACGTTCTTTGTGATTTCTGGATTATTTCAATGTTGTCAAAATCAATTTTGTGGCCCGATTCTATAGCATGTATACCTATGGCTGATGAATTTTCAAGTTTTTCTAGTTCAACTAGATTTCTCGGTGGTCGAAGAGATGCTCTACGGTGTTGACTTTTTCTGATTTTGAATTCTCGAGATGTTTGTCCGATGTAGATCGCATCACATTCCAAGCATTTTATTTTATAGACGCAGAAAAACTTCAGAAATCACAGAGAACGTCTAATATCAGAAGCACTTCATATCAAGTGGAATCCAAATTGCCTGAATAGGAATGATGGACTAAAACAGAATCTGACCTGGTTACAACACCCCCCTCCCCCATGAAATAGCGAAATCAATACAAATGTGATAAGCAAGTTCACTACGCAAACACACACTACTTTTATAATTTTACACACTGATAAAATTCAACAATCTACACTTGATTTTGTTATCTTTACCAGTTGACCAACTTGACAACAAAAAATGAACTCAGACTGACGAAAGATGATCAAGTTAGTAAACTTTGTTTTGATATCATAACAGACGTACTTATACCTTTGTTATTTGGTTTTGTGATCTTCATTGTTATTTTGACCTTCAATATGTCCTTTTAACTTGACCTAAGTCTATTTTCTCACCTCTTACCTCTTTGTTATATATATTCTGAGATTTTGTAAATTCCGGTTTAATAATACTTTGAGAAAGCTATTAGCAGCATTAAATAGCGAAACGTCAGTAAAAACAATATCGTTTTGTTTTTCATTCATTGGGAAATACAAAAACCTTTATTATAATGAATATCATATACCCAGTGCCCAAATTTTTTCAGACCGTTGAAAGTGAACTTGGTTTGGACATATATCGTGGTATCATAATCTTAATTTCGCAAAAAGGCACAATAAAAATGATACTATTAAATTAACACAAGTCTCTCTGGTGAAAAGGACTGATGGAACAATGGAAAAATCTACATTTACAAAGCCTTCATCGATGCAGGACAGTATAAACATTTCAATAGTTTTGTTTCGACCCAGTATAGAAAAGAACTTCGTCAAAACACTGCTTAACTCAGCATGCAAAAATCTGTTATGACAGCAGAATTGAATATGAAATAAAGATTCTGAAGGATATTTTATCTGAGAATCGATATCCTAAGACGTTCATTGGTAAATACTCCAAAGAAATGCGCCCCAGTAAAAACATTCACACCCTTTCAAAAGAGGTTGTACATAACAACTTGCCATGTAAAGATGATGTTCAAGAAGTAGTCAAATGAAGACTCGGTAAAGCTACCAGGGAGATCTTATTATGCTGCAAAACTCGTGTATCTCAACACCACCAAGAGGGCGCTTCAACAATCTACGAAAGACTAGTCCCGCCAATCTATGATCACTCAAACAGTGTGAAGTGGTACACCACACTGACCACTTCACTTATATGGGAAGTACCATCAGTCAGTGCCAACGGGTTGATCTCTGACGAAATCTCAGCACAGATACAGAGGGCTAGTTTCGCATAAGCCAGTTTACGCCGTCTCTGACGTAGACGTGATATCCGGCTGGCTATCGACCAAAGGGCGGATATAGGGTCAGGCTGGAAAAAAGCTAGTGGCAGTCAAACAAAAACTTGGCACCAGTCAATGAAATCCACAACAGTTGGTCTAAGCCTCGTAGGAAGGTGTAGACTTCCAGGATAGGGTCCTCGGGACGGTAAAATTCTATGGTTAGAAACAATTGGTGACATGGCTCAAAATCGTTCTCAGTGGCGCAGATGCATCCACTCCTTATGACTTATGATCTCCAATGAAACTGTTTTGTTTTTCTTTATTACTCCTTTGTCTCACATCTCTGCATACTGTTTCTATTATGCTTTTCTTGTACTTTCTTCTCTTGCTTCGCGTGCTACACGGAGGGAGCGTGTCGAATTGAACTGCCGCACATCGGTGCAAAGTTCTATATGGAAAACAGCGTATATCAATTTGAGTGTTTGTAGAAATAAATTTATAAACCGTACGGAAAGAATATCGTCTATTCGTATGATGTAGCAATCGCCAAAGTGGTTGAAAACAACTGATGTCAAAGATTACGATATCAAAGCATTTTGTGGACTACGGACATGATATTGACGCTGCCAAGTCATTCACTATTGCCTGCAGATGAACAACAACAAACAGGGGAAAACTTTTGATATGTATCCACATATATATATATGTGTGTATGGTGATCTCTCTTTCTGTTGCTCGCTTAGTCTGTGACCATTTCATTTTGATGAACCTGTCTCCCTTAACAATGTATATTCTCCTTATATTGTATATAATATGGGTGTTTGTTGACAGTTCGTAGCTTGATGACATATATCCATATTATATGTTTGGTTGTTGACATGTCTGCTATATTTTGCTATGTATATATGGATCGAACTCCATTATAATTAGCCATTCATGTTAAGACTGTCTATTGATTTGTTCACACACTTGTCTGGACGGTCATATATATTTCGCTCTCACAATTTGTGTGACTTACTTCACTCCTTACTTACTTACTGTGGTGTGATACCACTTATTGCTTCTCCTAGTGTTTGGAAAATAGAAGTATCATCGCAAACCTAGTGGTCTTCTGATTTCCGCCTTCTTGCGTCAGGACTATTAAATTCTCGACCAGAACATAGCAATAATTTGGCGACGAGTACATAACAACTTTCAACTGAGGAGGCTAGTACAATTGAAGTTAATAAGACAGCTGTCTCTGTTTCACTTATTAACTGTTATTATTATTCATATTTTGTTCTACCTCTTATCATTATTATTCCGCATTTATTGAAAACTATTCTTTATCAGTACCATTATTTAAAGTCAATTTAAGATTATTATTATTATTACCATCACTATTATCATCAAAATTACTATCGGATACATTAAATTTGTATTACTCTTTATCATATTTTCTTTTATTGTGGTTAATTTGTAGTACGTTTTTTTACCTTTATCTATGCTTTTATGAAGTACGACAACTCGAACCGCTTTATTCTTGTGCACAGTTCTAGGCTCAACAATTCACTGCTAGAAATGTTGTAGATGAAATATTCAACAACTAACTGATATTCCATGCAGTTGGCGATGCGAAACACCTATCATGTCTGTCTGTCTCTGTCTGGATTCAACATACAACTTGCCATCCAAGTGCACCAGTTCCAGTTGCCACGTTCCAAATACCACACAAAGGTAGACAAGAAGATGAGTGAAGAGAATCAATAGAGTTTGACAGGTATAAGAGCGAAACAGAATGGGGAATGGTAAAAAGGAATATGAAAGATTACAGAGACTGAATACATCTGCGCTGGCCACTGACAACGATTTTGAGCCATGTCACCTATTGTCTCGAGCCATTGATTCCTAGAGTCCCCACGGCCCCAACCCGGAAGTCTGCATCTCCCTCCCTACCTGACTCAGTTTAACTGACAAGGATTTCATGGATTGATGAGGCCATGTTTTTGTTTGGCCACCACTTACTCTCTTCCAACCTGCACCTATATCAGCTAGTAATGCCCGTCAGAGGAGGCGATGGTTAGGCATGCGCAACACCTGACCTAGCCATCTCAATCTATGTAACTTTATAGCCTCGTCGATTGATTTTCCCTCTTCGCCCAACACTACGCCACTCTACGTCAACAATACTTACCTTATTAAACCACCTAACGTGAGAAAGAGATCGCAGACATTTATGATCAAAAACAGTCAACCTTTTCATGTCTTCAACTCGTAATGGCCATGTTTCAGAGCCATAGAGAAGGACTGAGTGAACAGCTGAGCAGTACACACGTCCCTTGGTTGGTAGCCAGCCGGATATCACACCTACGCCAGAGATGGTGTAAATCAGAGAAAGTACCTCGAGCTTTTTGGATCCCTGCTGAGATTTCGTCGCCAATCAGTCCCCGTTGGTGCTGATACAACTTCCCAAATAGGTGAAATGGTGGTCAACATGTTCTATCACTTCACTCCCCATCACTAAGCTAGGAGTTGACCTAGTCCATCCAGTCCTGTAGCACCATCTTACATTTTACAGGGGCGAATCACATGCCAAACATACGAATATTGTTGCTCAAGGTGTTCAGAAGACTCTGCATTTTGTCACCATCCTCCCCTAACAGGAAGGACTATGTCATCTGCATATTCTAAGTCCACAAGACTATTCCCTGGTAACAAGTCGATTCCTAAGTCGTTACGTTCAGTTAAGGACACTTCCATCAGGATATCTATGATGAAGTTAAACAGAAATGGGGAATGTGGACATCCCTGTTGGACACAACTGGTTGTTATCAATTCAGATGACAATACCCCATAAGCCCTTACACGGCTACGTGAGTAGTTTGAATAGAGTTCCTTGATTAGTGCAATGTACTTTCTTGGCACTCCCTTCACAGTCAAACATTGCCATAGTATTATTGATATTATTGCCATAGTACCTTTCGATCCACGGAGTCGAAGGCCGCCTTCAAGTCAAGAAATATGGCAATTATTGGACGTCGAAAAGTGTGTCTATGTTGTAGAATCTGTCGGAGAGTGAAGATATGATGTATGCACTCTCTACCTGGTCTAAAGCCTGCTTGATTTTCTCTCGTTTGTTCCTCCCGAGTTCTGCTTAGTCTATGCATGATTACTCCGTCTAGGATTCTAGAAACTATGTTCGTTAGGCTGATCCCCTCAATGATTATCACACGAGGACTTGTTTTCCTTCTTGAATATCGGTATATCATGTAAAGACTACTGATCCTACTTGAATGAGTGGCTGCACAAATCGCCGTAGGTGAAGCAGAGTTGCAGAAACTTGTGACCTACTGATTGGAGGTTGAGCGACTAGACCAAATGAATGACAGCTTCACGGAAATTAATGCTATAGAGGTTATTGCATAAATGATTATAACTAGTATTTACCTTCGGGTAAGCTGAAGATTGTTTTTTATTACTTCTTCCATTTTCCTGATCATGTTTCTTGGTTATTATGGCTGGAGTTACACTTTCAATGTGTGACGATGCTGAATTATTTGAATTGGTTAAATCGCATGTATTCAAGAATTTACTGCCTGAAGAAAAAGAAAGAAAGAAGAAGATAATGGTGTCGTTATTATTATTATTGTCAAACGCCAATAAACCGATGTAGTTGCTCACTTAACATAAAAATAAGATTTCGCAAATAAACTGATAAAAGATACTATGCATGCACTATTTGAGACTTCCATGAATGAAGACTGCATCCTAAAAAGCTTTCGACAAGGTGTTAGATCCTGGGTTCGAAGACCCTGTGCAGAGTAGTGAGTACTGTTGAAGAGGGCTACACTAGGGTGAAACGACCAACCATAACACTTCCTGGTTTTCCAATGTTCCTCTAACTGATGCCAGCTAGTGATCACAGACCTATAATCCAAAATAAGTTGTAGAATAAATATCTGTATTTCCAAGCATAACTTCTTTCACCTTGAGATTTGAGTAAAAAGCTTTCAGTAATTTTCACTGGCTGATCACACACCGTTTAGGCATATATATTCATCTTCAATATCCTTTATTGCATATACAAGACAGTTGTCCAAATATTAATGGATTATTTAGGATATCGTCAGAGAAAAATGTTCGGAAAATAACGTTGGGAGAGTTACCGTCAGAGTAATACATAACGAAGTGAAATTTGTACAGACGTTCAAGCAGAGTGATGAGTCAACTTGGAAACAACTTTCAGAGATATTTATCAATTTAAATTTCTCAGTGGATAAAATAAGAAAATATACAAAAATTACGACAAAGAAATGGACAAACAAGAGAATAATTGATTTCAAAGTGAAATGAAGATGTTCAAAATCTGAACAATGACAAGAAATCGGTGTATCCACGGCGTTGTGAACGATTTTGTGTTACAGCATCAAATGACTTCAAGAACTGCGTAACAAACAAGAATACTACTCCAGCCAGCAAATCTACACCTAACTAACTACTAAACAACTCAGATCAACAAGCAGTGACTTCATGAATTGGTGCTATAGTCTGTTCTGACAACCTTTAACTCCTTACAAAAACAGTAGTTCACTTCCATTTTATATTGATCGAAAAATACGATGGATCAGGGATACGCAACACATGTCTCACCATTAACCTTATAAGATACACAATTACGAAATTAGAGAATGACTTGCCTACTTCACTCAATAATCTGCACATAACCACATTATAGCCTAATGATGTCGTCCAATTGAATGTTAGAAATCGAAAGAAGACAAATACGATCAGTAACTGTAACCAACCATTCGATACCTACATGGTGAGAGCGGTCTTTGCTAGCCGAAATTGGCAGACAGCAATTCACGTCAATGTTGTTCACTTCCCAAATCTTGGTGATGAGAAAAACAAGAATAAAGTCATTGCGTGGGCGGATACGATTAGCAGATATATATATATGGTCTGACTTTCAAAGAAACGTCTACAAAGAGATGATAGAATAACTTCCAGTGAAAAAAGGACAAATCAGAAGACACTGTTTCTCTGCTACTAATAATGAATAGTAATGTACATTAAAGGCTATAAATATTGGTTGATTTCCTGAATAAACGATCTGTTGCTTGGGCCTTGTCTTCTGTTGATTCACCTACCTACTACTCTCAAAAAAACATGCCACACGTGTGATTAGATCTCCATATAGTATATATGACAGGTATATGTATAACCGATTCGAGGACACCTACATTCCGAGAATGATTTGTGTCTTTGTGTCAAGTAAACTGGAAGAATTACAAGAAAAAAAACTCAACAAGTTGGCAGAAGCGATAAACAATAATATCGGGATTTCAATCGAGCATAGAGGTGATGAAGATACACAGCCGTCAACGACAGTAGGCACCAATCACCAATCTAAAGGAGATAAATTTAGAAGCGGTCACATCCTATACGTATCCAGGCAGCGTCATTTCAACTATGGGTAATGGTACAAATGAAGTTGTCAGAATGAAGATCCGAAAAACAATGCAAAAATTCATCAATCTGAAATCAGTCTAGAAACCTTCTGAACTCAGCACAAACGACAAGATTCGGACTTCCAACAACAATAATATCACGTTAGATTTTCTGTACGGGTCAATAACTTGCCTTTAATGTAACCAGAGGCATTTCTAACAGGCTAACTACTTCAGACTGTCATCAACAGCTGCTGCTTTCGCTAACTCCATACTAAAGATCAGATAGCCAGTCAAAAAGAGTTAGAAACAAGAAGCATTTGGCAACGAACCAATCAAAAACCGGCTGCTCAACAAATATTTCGAGGTAAACGCAGATGGACTGGATACACTCTGAGAAAAATGTTGAGCAACAACACATACCAAGCCATCGCTAGAGTGTAACTCGAATACGAAACGACGAGTGGGGCGTTTGTATCTATATATACAAGTGATAAATCTACTTAACAAGATAGAAATTCTGGCGAGATAACGTACGTGCTTAACCTATAGACCGTAAGCTAAGAAAACAATAATAAACCAATTATAAATACTTGTGCAGATGCCAAGGACTTCAGCACGAAAGACGACATTGCACACATTTTGCATCATTTTCAAATTACTCACCATACTACTTATGAGTAGATGGCTTAATTGTTTACATTTTGCAGTTGCTATTTGTTCACCACAGCTGTTACTTACACTCATGCAAACATATAACCCTGGTAATCACGAAAGGTAAAGATATACTTTTTTTCATCACACTGTAAAGTATATACAACCCAGAAAGGAATAAATACACCAAGAGAAAATATGTGTTTGTTTAACTTTGTATTCGCCGTCGGTTCATTGTAATTAGACCGAAATGTATCGGTCGTGACTCCTAAAACGGACGCTGAGATGATATCTGAGAATTAACTTGAATTAAGTTAGTGGATAGTGATTAGCTGTGAAATCCAGAATGAGAGAATCTAGTTTTATATGCGACTTGTTATCTGCAGTCATCAATGAGACGGATGATGTTCAAAATAAAGAGTATTAAAATGTCGAGTCTCACTAGGAACACTATCATCACTCACTAAAGATTACAGTTGCATTCAGATGACGATTCTAAAATAAGACAAAATGAGCATCCCCTACTCCACTAAATAAAACGAAAATATGTACTTTTACACACGTATGTGCGTGCATACATACATTACTACTTACCATCATCTTGACCACTACTACTCTCCAGTGTTTCTGGAAAAACTGGTGAGCCAAGATTACGCGGAGGTGTACTAACTGTAGGCAAATCATCACCAACAGATCCGATGATAGATGAAGTTTGTGAATCAATACTGACACCTTTAGTGACAGAAGTAACATAATCTGAAATCACTGATCCTAGATGTGTATTCACAGTTAACATATCGTATTCAGCTTTCAGTTCTGACATTGCCTGTATCTATATAAAAGAACAAGTTATATGAGATGTTGTATGATGAAAGAAATTTCTTTTCGAGGAAAAAAACAAATGAAGAGAAGACAAGATGATAATATGATATGTATCCACATGATGTGTGTTTTGTTTTTGACAGTCTGTTATATTTTGTTATGTGTATATGGATCGATATTGCATTATAACTGACAATATGCTTTTGTCTGACCACTAACTAAATAAACATGTATGACCTTGTTGTCACATGACATTACAACCAAATATGTTAAGACTATTTATTGGTTCATGTGTATTAGCCATTTTCATATATACTCCTGCTTTATTATTCTTGTTCTTCTTGTTCCCACGTTTCGTACATCTAAGTACCCTTCTACTCACACTCTTGTGTGACATTTATTTTCCTTGTCTGGAAAATACAAGTATCATCGTAAACCTAGTGGTCTTCTGATTTCCCTCTTTCCGCGTCATGACTATTAACTACTCGACGAGTACATAACATAATACTACTTATTAATCAAACAACAATGACAGTTATGTAAAGAGATAAAAACTTATGTTAATTCCAAATAAGTGATATAGTAAATTCTCATTCCATTATAGTAGTATACGATCCAAGCTGAGGTAATTATGAGGTAAACCTCGACAGACTAGATTAGTTAAATACTCCTACTAAAAAAATAATCAGCTACTTCATACAATGTTGTCAATGAAATACAACTCAGTCACCTTTTGATATAAGAATAAAACTTGTGCACTGTGGTAGAGTATAATTCCATCATGGCATAAATCTGACCATATCAAAAAGGTTACTGTGAACATATTCAAACGAGTCCATATGAAGAAATTAAGAAGCCTGTAGATACAATAATAAGGTTAAGAAATCTAAAGTAGAACTAATACGCAGAATGAAGCCGTCACTGGGTGAGTCTAAATGGTTTAACTTAATGCCTAAAACTAATAATGCTAGTAGAATATATAGTACTATTAAAATACATAAGCCAGGTTACCCCATACGACCAATAGTAGATTTTAGAAATACCCCTACTTATGAATTATCAAAACACTAAGCCCCATTAGAAATCGTTCAATCTCTAGATTAACTAATTCATGTGAGATGAAAAACAAAATAAATGACATTCAACTAGCAAATGATGAAACAATAGTTAGTTTTGATATAACTAGTCTTTATACTGATATACCAGTTAATATGGCCTTAGAAGCAGTTAAAAATGAACAAACTGCAGATCCTGAACTCAGCCATAGGACAAAGCTGCCCATTGAAGAAATTATTTTAGGGATTCAGTTATTCCTCACATCTACTATCTTTAAGTTCCATGGTAAAATATATAGACAAACAGAAGGTGTAGCAATGGGATCACCAATATCCCCTATCGCAGCAGACATATTTATGGACAGCTGGGAAAATAGTGCCCTCAATACATAGCGGAGATATGTGGATGACACTTTCACAGTGTTAAAAACAGAACATATCTCTAGCTTCTTGACACACATAAACTCACTAGTGGAGGGAATAAAATTCACATTTGAATCGGAAAATGGACAAGGAGAATTAGCTATGCTAGATTGTAAAATAAAAAGAATAATAGAAGGTAAACTACACACTAGTGTGTACAGAAAACCAACTCATTCTAATAGATACTTAGACTTTAATTCGTCTCATCCGTTACCTGTTAAGGCAGGCTTAGTTAAGTGTTTAACAAACTGAGCAGTAGCACTAAGTAGTACAACAAAAAAGACCTAAATGATGAATTAAAACAGATAGAAGAAGCGTTGGTGTTAAATAACTATCTTTTAAAATTCATTAGGAAGATCGGAAAAGGCCAAACGAAAAATAACAGTAATTGTGAAACTAGTAATCATAACATAAATGCATAATGGAATCAGGCACCTTTTGTACTGAAACCCTAACGTTACTTTTTTTTAAATATCTGGTAAATTTTTATTATTGTTGTGACAGTTATTTCTTTAGGTTCTGAAATTTCCATGTCACTACTAATATCAGGAATCCTTATCATCTGGCACTATGATTGCCACCTGTAAACTCTCATTCCCTTCTCACATAACATCCCCTATGTAACTTTCTCGGACGCACACTTGACCTGCGTTCCACTCGAAGGCGTGTATATATCTGTCAGTGTCTGTCTGGATTCAACATACAACTTGCCATCCAAGTGCACCAGTTCCAGTTGCCACGTTCCAAATACCACACAAAGGTAGACAAGAAGATGAGTGAAGAGAATCAATAGAGTTTGACAGGTATAGGAGCGAAACAGAATGGGGAATGGTAAAAAGGAATATGAAAGATTACATAGACTGAATACATCTGCGCTGGCCATTGACAACGATTTTGAGCCATGTCACCTATTGTCTCGAGCCATTGATTCCTAGAGTCCCGAGGGCCCCAACCCGGAAGTTTGCATCTCTCTACCAACCTGATTCAGTTTAACTGTCAAGGATTTCATGGATTGATGGGATGTTTTTGTTTGGCCACCGCTGGCTCTTTTCCAATCTCTCACTAAACAGTCTCTGCTAAGCGTATGTTGGGTAGTTGGTTTTTGATTGTTTCGTCGCCTTGTGGATTATCCTTTCTGGGTGGGTTGTTCAGTCTTCAGTAACAAACCGGCGGAGACAGACATCTGTTCATGGAAGTCGATAGTAGCCTACTGGAAAAGCTTTTGGTGATGCTTCAACCAAGTATATAAACCGTATATAGAAGTACACTGACTGACTTGACATTAGTGTTGAAAACTAGGATCTTGTTGCTTGTACTGCTGAAAACATTCGATTACCGCAATGATTTCCACAATCTTGACTGCTTTTAACATCCTCGTCTGTGTCAATCTCTGTAGGTGAGATGATGCCGCCTACGTAGGTGGAAGAGGTGACTTCCTTCAATATTTCTCTCTTCCATAGTGATTGCCGCTTGTTGTTGTCGCCGTTGATTTGGGAGTTCACTTTAATTAGGGTGTGTAGAATGTGTGTGTATAGAATGTTATATCATAGATTTCTTCCCCTTTATGAATTGGAATGAAGGAAAAACAACAATTTCTGCAGAATAAAATGGTACCATCATTTATTTCCTTGGTTTCTCATCATCTGTTTTCAACCTAAAGACATTATTAGAGTTTATGTAATGGAAAACTTCTGAAATACACAGACACTTCATTTTTTAAAACAAAAAATTAATGGATATATACAGTGCTAATAATAATAATCACTTTATTCCAAACAATAGTAATCGTACACAATAGAATTTTTGGCGTTACGCAATTAAATGAAAAAGAGGAAGAAAACATCCAGTTACCAGAGCAAGGGCAGACTGAGAACTGCTTCTTTTTGAACATTAATAGATAAAAGACAAGTAGTTCAGCGAAGAGTCTCTTTTCGGCGAATTCATTTTCATAGCTGTACAATCGCAAATATATATGATTATTTTGTGTGTGTGTATATATATATATATACATTAAATTTGTCAAACGAAAATACAATTAGTAAGTTCAGATGAATTGGATGTAAATATAAGAGGATAGTAACAAAAGTGATGAGTTGTCAAAAGCGATTGTCAGACGCATCTGCAGCTCTGACACCATGGAAGAAGAACTAAACTTCCTGAGAGAAATCTTCATACAAAATAGCTAGCCATCAAGATTCGTAGACAAAAACATCAAACAAAAAATCCAAAAGCAAGAGACACCATCCGTGCCTAAAAAGATACTTTATATGAACCTGGACTTCAAAGGCGACCTATTTAGTGACGTCCTCAGAAGGAGAATTTCCACCTCTTTAGAAAGAACATTCCCTGCGGCAACATTAAGAGTAATGTTCTCCAGTCGTCCGCTGATCTTCAGAAGCGAAAATGACAAGATTTCGCACATGACTGCTTCCATGTGTATATATCAGTTGCTGTTGCTGTAGAGCCAGGTACATCGGTCGTTCAACGCGCATCCTGTCAAAAAAGGTCAAAGAACACTATCCAGTGCGGCTGCAGAAAGGAAGTAGTGGCCGTATAAGGAGTGCAACAATCGAACATCTCGTCAACCAACAAACGCCTCCTTCGAAGTAATCTACAAAGTGAAGAACAACCTTCCAAAGACAGTACGATTCCGTCTTCTTTGCATCGCATAAGCCCTAGCCATCCAGTTGGAGGAACCAGAACTATGCATACAAAATAAAATTATCCAACCACTTCTACTCGCATGGTAACAACTCCGTTGATTGGACCCTACTTCTGTTTGTATGCTTATTTTTTCTAACTTAAAACCCTGGTGTAATTCTGTATATTATTTTGTTTCCATGTACACCCTGAGCACAACTCTTTCATCAAACTATTCATGCTATCACGTAACTCTTATTTAACAATAATTTATGACAACTCATCACTTTTGTTACTATCTTCTTATATTTACATCCAATTCATCTGAACTTACTAACTGCATTTTCGTTTGACAAATTTAATGTATATATATATATATATATATATATATATATATATATACACAAAATAATCATATATATTTGCGATTGTACAGCTATGAAAATGAATTCGCCGAAAAGAGACTCTTCGCTAAACTACTTGTCTTTCTGAACACTCAAATCAGGTTTCAGGAGCTTGATGGAGATTGCTTCGGCAAACTCAGGGAGAATTGAATTATTTCGCCTATTGATAATTTACAACAATTTTGCAACGTCAACCTCATGACCCGCGTATTGATTAGATGTCTGGACCGAATTAGCTGCACGAGTTTCCAGCTAGTGATGTATCCAATCTTATATTAATTATTCTTGCAATATTATCACTTTTGAAGTCAGGTTGAATAGAAAGATAGACTTTCTTCCCACTGTGATTTGTTTGGCATTACAGAGCCTTTACATCTTCTATATTTGTTAATGAACTCTGAGAGTCACCGTTGTTTTTCAACATCTTTTCCAGAATCAGAAATTAAATTCTTCCCCTGATTTCTCTATAGAGCATATTCTCTTACCTGCAAAGAACAAGGCCTTGACTAGTGCTCGTTTAAAGCTTGTTGGACAAAAACTACTTAAAATGTACAGATTGTCTTTTCCATGTAGACTCTCAGTAAATTGACCTCGGGAGACTAGCATCTTCTAGGAGTTTTATGGTAATGTCAAGGAAATGTAACTTTCCATCATTTTCATTTTCCATAGCAAATTCAATATTTGTATGTGAGTCGTTGAATTATCTGAGCAGGTAGGAAGCATGACTCTTATTGTTGCACACTACAAATGTGTCATCGACATATCAACAATAAGAAGTTGTTTCGTCAAGATTCAATGTTCTTTCAAAGTTGGACATGGAGATATCTGCGGAAACAGGGCTGAGTGCACTGCCCATAGCTACACCATCTATTTGGCGGTGAGAAGTGTTGTCAAACTGGAATTATACATCCACGGTACACATTAGCAGTAGACGTTTGAATTCCAACTCTGGGAGTGAGAGATCAGAATTCTGACAAATGGTCGAGATCATTTATCATTGATTGGGATCCTTAAGAACACGGATAATGCATCAAATGACGTCACAAACTTATTTAAAACGTGCAAGTGGTTCACGCTTTCGTTAAATCTTTCATCATGTACAAAGATAACCGTTGATGAATGGTTTCCAACTTCTCTGTAAGGCAGTAAGCAACTTTAAGCTACGGCGAGTCGATGATAGAAAGTATAGTTCTCAGGGGGAGGGTATGTTCTTTGTGTGATTTTGGTAGGCAGCAGATGCAAGGCAAAGAGGACCCTCGCGGTTTGAAATCATTAAAAACATTGTTATCTATCAATTTCTTCTTTAGGAGATATCTCAATACATTTTCGATAAGTTTTTCAGCTGCATCTGTCGTATCTTTCTGGCAATCGTCAACACTAAACCTCACTGGGGCATTTAAGACAGTTTACATCTTTTCAATGTAGTCATCTCTGTCAATCACCACCACCACTCTTGAACCATTGTCAGGTCACAGTATGACGATTTTGTCATTATTTTTGAAAGATTTCAATGCTTATTGATGCTCGTCAGAAAGGATTTCGGAACATGTGATTGATGTAACGAGGTACTGATTTGCAACGTCGATCAGCGTAGATTTCAACCAACTCCTTGTGTCCTCATCAACTGGACTAAGGGGTCATAAACTTAATAGGTGTCTTTAGGGCTGTAAGCAGCCAACGAAATAAATGATGGTAACATTTTATTCTGTACAAAATGTAATACTACCCTACGGTCTAGAGAGTTCACCAACTTATCCAGTGTCTGAGTAGGGTTTCGCGTGAAAAATGACGGAAACATAAACGAAAAACTTAAAGGACTTGGATCATTCAACAATTGAACGTTATTCACAAGAAGACAAAAAAACTTTAACAAACACATTCACATGCCTGATCTCTCAACTGTTTTCGAACTACAGTCAATTCTTTCTGAAGTTCAATAATTTCTGTTTGGTTATTGTTGACAGCATCTTCTGTCTTTGAACTCGCATATTCACTATTAACCTTTAAAAAAAAATAATTAAATGACCAAAATGTGAAAAAACAATATCTTGATTGTAAAATTAAAATTCGATCATACAAAGCATTCATAAAAGATAAACAGCATATCCAGAAAACGGTCTACTTCTTCACTTAGTCACATTTAGAAGGATGAGTAATTATATATATAAGTAGTTAACAGAAAACCAAGCGAAAAAATATATCGAACGCAGCATTACCCATAGGGAACCTTGTCACCTTTGAAAATCTCTCAAATATATCGACAAAAACGAGGACAGTTAAATATCCATATATATATATATATATATATATATATATATATGTCTAATACACATAAGTTCACTAAATTCAGGTGTATCAATATTTCAAAGAAGTAAATAGGTTTATGAACTGCCTGAGATTTTTATTTTTGAACACAGTTTGAAGTCTTCTGAACACCTTGAACACCTATCTTCGTATGTTTGACATGTGATTCGCCCCTGTAAAGTGTAAGATGCTGCTACAGGACTGGATGGACTACGTCAACTCCTAGCTTAGTGATAAGGAGTGAAGTGATAGAACATGTTGACCACCATTTCACCTATTTGGGAAGTTGTATCACCACCAACGGGGACTGATGATTGGCGACGAAATCTCAGCACGGATCCAAAACGCTCGAGGTGCTTTCGCTGACTTACACCATCTCTGGCGTAGGCGTGACATCCGGCTGGCTATCAACCAAGGGATGTGTGTACTGCTCATCAGTTCACTCCGTCCTTCAATATGGCTCTGAAACATGGCCAATACGAGTTGAAGACATGAAAAGGTTGACTGTTTTGATCATAGATGTCTGAGATCTCTTTCTCACGTTTGGTGGTTTAATAAGGTAAGTAATCTTGAAGTTAGGCGTAGAGTGTTGGGCAAAGAGGGAAAATCAATCGACGAGGCTATAACGTTATATAGATTGAGATTGGTAGGTCAGGTGTTGCGCATGGCTAACCATCGCCTCCCCTCACGGGCATTACTAGCTGATATAGGTACAGGTTGGAAAACAGCCAGTGGTGGCCAAACAAAAACATCCCATCAATCCATGAAATCCTTGACAGTTAAACTGAGTCAGGTTGGTAGGGATATTCAGACTTCCGGGTTGGGGCCCTCGGGACTCTAGGAATCAATGTCTGGAGACAATAGGTGACATGGCTCAAAATCGTTGTCAATGGCCAGCGCAGATGTATTCAGTCTATGTAATCTTTCATATTCCTTTTTACCATTCCCCATTCTGTTTCGCTCCTATACCTGTCAAACTCTATTGATTCTCTTCACTCATCTTCTTGTCTACCTTTGTGTGGTATTTGGAACGTGGCAACTGGAACTGGTGCACTTGGGTGACAAGTTGTATGTTGAAACAAACAAAATATTGTTAACCATTCAACATCAGTATCAACTTTGAGGAGCAATTTCACTGGACTAAAGGCACGATCAACTTACTGGAGAATCCAGCACCTCTATGAATGAGATATAAAAAACACCAACCCTCTGTCCGTAACTGTGGTTAAAAAAGCTGTCACTAATCTTAAATGAGGTAAAGCAGCGGACCTGATGAAATGACTCCAGGTGTTTAAGTATGGTGGAGACAGTTTGCAGTGTAAGTTAATTAAGGTATCACATTGTGTCTGGGATCAGGTTGGAAAAAAGCTAGTGGTGCTGGGGTCAAACGAAAGCATAACTTCATCAGTCAGCGAAATCTATTACAGTTAGTTTAAGCCACGTAGGTAAATACTGGTCACCTCTTTGGGATCCCCTGGAAGGTAAGAACTAATGAATGCTGGAGAGAGAGAGAGAGAATTGGTGATGAAGTGGCTCAAGATAGTTCTCAACGGTTAGCGCAGGTACATTCACTCTTCGTGATTTGTCATATCCCATAAAAGACTCCACTGTTTTCCTATGTTCCTACTCTTTTTCCCTCACACTCGTGTTTTTTATCTGTCTTTTGAACTTCCCTTTCCTCTGTTCTCTTTCTTTGTATGGTGTATGGAATGTGAGTGGCCACTCGAACTGGTGCACTTCTGTGCAAAGTTCAATGTTGAAACCAGTCGGTCAGTAAGCATCAACTATCTGTCAGTAATGCTTGAGAGTTTTATCGATTCAATACTCACAATGTTCAAAAACCCTTCAATCGAACCCACTGCAGTACAATATACTACGTACCAACCTATTTCTGAAACCTAAGATTTGGTTTTGAAGTACTGCATCGACAAAATTAACTTTGGCATATATACGCAAGTAGATAGTCATGCACCACAACACAAAACAAAATTAGTTTGTATACTGTAGATCCAACTTGTTGTTTAAATCAGTACCTCTTCAACACAAAGTTAACAGAACGAATAAAAATAACTTCACACTGACAAAAAAGGTGTTAAGAATTCTACAACTTGAAGTGTTTTAATATGTCTAACTGTTCTCGACATAGAAATTTGCACATATGTGCACCAGTTCAAGTCGCCACACTCTACGTACCACACAAATCAAGAGAAAGTACAAGAAATGCATAATAGAGACAGTATACAGAGGTGTGAGACAAAAGAAGAGTAATAACGAAGAACAAAACAGTTTCATTGGAAATCATAAATCACAAGGAGTGGATGCATCTGCGCTAGCCATTGAGAACGATTTTGAGGCATGTCACCAATTGTTTCCAACCATTGATTTTTACAGTCCCGAGGACCCCAACCAGTCAGGAAGTCTAAACCTTCCTACGTGGCTTAGACTAACTGTTGTGGATTTCATTGACTGGTTCCATGTTTTTGTTTGACCTCCGCTACCTCTTTTCCAGCCTGACCCTGTATCCGCTAACATTGGTCGTCGAGGAAGGCGATGACTAGGCATACGTAACACATGTCCTAACTATCTCAGTCGATGTAATTTCACAACCTCGTCGATTGATTTCCCCTCCTTACCTAGCACTCGACGCCTAACCTCAATATGACAGAAATACAGTGCGTGTGTACCCTATCTCAATTAGGAAAGGATGAAGAAACCTCAAATTTCTTATTCAAATCTACGAGAAAGATAGGGAAAAAACACTCGGAACTAAGGTGTATAAACGATGCTCCGGATGCAAAACTCCCCCTCTCCCCCCGGAACAAACTGAATTCAGGAAAAGTGAATGGTGAGTTGATCATATCGCAAGGCTAAGATGCATTAGAATCAATGGAATACAACGGCAGTCAACAACAAGCAGCTATCAATATCAACGGGGGAAGTTTGAAGTAAGTCACTTCTTTCACTTATCTAGGCGACATAGTTTCAACAACTACAGGCAACGGCACAAGTGAAGATATCAAAGTCAGGATTCGAATGGACAGGAAGACCTTCGATAATCTGAATTCAGTCTGGAAATCCACTGCACTAAGAGTGAAGAACACAGTTCAAATTTTTAACTCTAATGTCAAGTCAGTCAGTTCTTTTATTTGGTTCTGAGATTTCAGTACATTATCAAAGCTATTTCCAACAGGCTACTGCAGACAGCTGCCTTCGCTTCATACTGAAGACCATCTAACTAACCAGAGAGGATTAGCAACAAAAAAAATCTGGCAGTAAGGGACTTAAACAGGAACCTATTACCAAACAAAGGTGCCAGAGAAAATGGATAAAATAGACGCTGAGTCAAAAACTGAAGCCAAGACCCAGAGTGCAACCTGAATGGGAAGCGAAGACTTCGGCTTCCAAAGCTGACATGAAGGGGAGGAGGGGATGAGCTTTTATGGACAGTCTTAGTGTAACAACAGAAGACAAGGACCAGGAAACAGATCGTTTTATTACGGAAATCAGCACGTATTTATGTATATTTCGTGTACATTATTATAGCTTATTCAAGCAGACAAACAGTTTTCCGATTGGTTGTTTCTTGCTCAAGGTGATTGGTTTCTCGGAGAGTGAAGCCATATATCTGCGAATCTTATTTGCCCACGTTAAGTCTGCTGTGATTGGCTGTTGAATCAACCTTGTTCATATTTTCTCACGGCCAATATTAGCGACCTAGACATTGATGTAAATTAATGTCTGCCAATTGGCTAGCAGCCTGCTCTCACCACATTAGAAGCAAATAGAAATGACCGTGGAAAACAGAATGAAAATGCAGATGTTCTGCAGAAGTCTTTATGTTCCACCTGGAACCTAAGGGGATAATAATAATATAGTTCCAGAGTTATACTAATCCAACTAATATTTCAGCTGTTCTGCAAACATTGTAACAGTGTGACAAGAGTCTGTTGAATAAGACATGTCATACTAGCACGTTAACACGAATAGATTATGTAGACGGCTACAATGCTGAGTAAAACCATGAAAAATCAAAGATTCTTTTGAGTATTCAATATCCATCAATGATGAGTGCCAGTCAGTTGTCTTTCCATCGAATCGAATCTCTTATCCCAAGGCATGTAAGGAAGTAATTATACGTGTTAATGGCAGATATCGTGCATCGATGTTTCAGCAGTAGAATGAATGCTCATCGACCACGCACACAGTCTTCGGGGTTTGAACCCCGGTCGACGACGCACTTCTAAACTTCGCTTAGCCGGTCGTAAGCTCAAGTTCAAGTTTGAGGAGCTATTTTCCATTCGGAATCCACAGTATTATTATTGTTCCTTCGGGTTCCATAGTGGTTGATAGGGCTTCAACTGCACGTCTCCACTTGCCACTTCTGTCTTCTGCTGTACTTTTCACCTTCATCCATGTTGGTCCATACTGTTTCAACTCCTCTTCACATGATCTCCTCCATGTCACCCTTGCACCGACGACCCACTCGCCGCTTCCTTTTCGGCTTCCACTCGAGGGCCTGACGCGCGATGTCACCGACCGGCCTCCTCAGCGAGTGTCCGATCCATCCATCTCCACTTTCCCCAGCATATTTGTTGGGCGATTGGTTCTTGTTTCGTTTCTTCCCATAGTTTTTTGTTGGTGATTCTTTCCGGCCCGGCCATCTGATCTTCAGTATAGATCCAGCGGAGACAGTTGTTAATAAAGGTCTGCAACAGGCTGTTGGAAATATTCTTTGTGACTCGCCCGCCAAGTTTCTGATCCGTATAGAAGAACTGACTGACTTGACGTCTGTATTGAAAATCCGACGGAATATTGTTGTTGACGCTGAGTGACGAAGATTTCCAGATTGGTTTCAAGAATCCACAGTAATAAAACAAATGCTAAAATAATAAAGAAAGGCATCACAATTACATTATTATGAAGTTCTTTATAAGTTTACCTTGCTATCCTCAATACTTGACACAATACTATACGTTTTCCCCTGATCTTCTGATAAAGAGACAGTCAACTCCAGTTCATTTTGTACTTCACACTTTGGATCACTACTTTCCAGACCAGTAAACGATGCACTACTTATAAGATTTGAAACTTTTGTTAAATTTCCAGCTTTCCCATCATACTGACAAGGTGGCAATAATTTCGGGTCCAGTAATTCATCTGGGGATAAATTCTCTAACGGCGAGAATTGAATAGTTTCACCTAATGCAGTTACTCCTGGGAAAACACTATTCGAGCAAGAAACTGAATTTTCTTTACTGCGTGCCTCCTGAAAAAAAATAAATAAAACCAACACAAACACAGAGGATAAGCAATTTAGCGATTTCAAAATGGCAAAATAAATTTTCAGGATTTCATCATAAGCTGACATCAGTTAGAGAACCACTGGGAAACCTGTGGGAAGTATTTGAAAGCTATTTTGTCTTTATGCTTGGGACTCTTTATCAGTAGTCACTCAATGTCGCACCATGGTTCGAACCCAGGACCTTCCGGTTACTAGGCGAGCTCGTAGACCGTTAAGTTACTTACTGGGACCTGATCGAATGGCCACTACAGGAATTCTAACTTCTGCCGGTTCACGATATCACGTCACCACTAGTCAATGTCATCATCGATGAGTACTTTTCCGCACATCTGACTTGCTTGTAACCCACTTGTGATGAATTACTAAATTTTGCCATGACAGCAATAATATCATATAAGGCATTTTTCTTAATGCTACTCTATAACACAAAGTATACAACTGATAATAATTGTAGATCACGCTAAAGAGGTCAAAAGAAAATAGAAGAATGTGGAGATGTGTTGTCGAAGCGTTATGTTTCACTTGCAACCCAAGAGAACAATAATAAATATTAATAATAACTTGAACATTATTCTCACATTGAGAATGTACAGAAGGCAAACATTTGCTGATCTCGGGGAAAGGAAATATAACTAGGAATTTTATTATTATTTTATTATTCGTCCCTTCGGTTCCCAGTGCAACATAGGGCTTCAACAACATATATCCGCTTTGTTCTATCTTTAGCTGTCGTTTTCAGCTGGGTCAAAGATTTCCTATAATGACTCAACTTCTGCTCGCACGATCGTTTCCCTGTCATCCTCGGACGACCCACTCGCCCCTTCCCATTCGGGTTCCACTCGAGAGATGGCCTAACGCGCGATGTCATTCGACGGTTTCCTCAGTGGTGTGTGCCCTATCCATGTTTACTTTCTCCTACATAATTGTTCAACGATAGGTTCTTGGCTAGTTTCTTGTTGCTGATTCTTTCTGGCTGGCTGACCATTTGATCTTTTTTTTCAATATGGAGCCAGCGAAGGGGGTAGTCATCGATCAAAATGTGAAGCAGCCTATTGGAAATGCTGTTCCTGATCCGTATAGGAAAAGTGACTGACTAACTTCACAATTGTGTTGCAAATCCGAATGCTGTTCTTTATGCTGAGTGCGGAAGAATTCCGAACTGGTTTCAGGTTCATGAAGGCGTATCTTGCCTTTCTGATTCCGGCTACCACATCTCGATCCATTAAGTTACCTGTAGTTGAAACGATGCTTCCTAGGTAAGTGAAGGAAGTAACCTACGTTAAATCCCTCCCATCTATGGTGATTGGTGCTGATTGTTGTTGCTGTTGTTGCTGTCGGTTGGTTACATAATCAATAAACTACAACTTTAGGATGTAAAAACCATGTTTCAACTGGACAGCATGTACTACGAAAAAATCAAATGACCTGACCTTTAAACTACCCTGAAGTTACAAGTGTTTAACAAATCGCTTTTGAAACACTGGATCATAAATATACCCCTTTCTATCCTAACAAATTTGAAAATAAGGTTGATTTTAGCGGAAAGGAAATCAGGCAAATAACACACAAATTAGACGCACAAGTCATTGGAAATCAAGTAGTATTAAAGAGTTGTTTTCGCCTAGGTTGGGACTATTCAGTGGTGCGCACTAACAACTGCAGCACCTGGAATCAAACTCGAGACATTCAGGATACGGCGATAAACTCGTTGACTATTCAATGAACTGGGATGGAATTCAATAACTAAATTAGACAGTTTGCTTTTATATCCAATTATTGATGCTTTGAATCTCGCAGACAACCCCCTTGAAACTAATAATTATCCTTAAGAATTATGTCTAAATATTTATCCACTTCGTACATATTACCCGAAGGTGATTTACTGCAAATCGTGTGATTTCAAATCCAACATGTACTCAATTGTTTTCTAAACTAAAAAATCGTATAATTATATGCAAAATTTGCAAATTAATTAGAGGTTTGCAATTACAGATTCGTCGTTGGAAAGAGCATTATGAGGAGCAGTTTAATTGGCCCACAGCCACGCTCAACCTTCCGAGCATCCAACACCTCCCTGAATGGGATATAGACACAGGTCCTCCGTCCCTAACTGAGGTTACTAAAGCTGTCACCAATCTGAAACTAGGCAAAGCAGCGGGACCTGATGGAATGACGCCAGAGGTATTTAAGTACGGTGGAGACAGCTTACTGTCCGGATTAACTGAGGTACTAGGCAGCGTCTGGGAATCAGAAGAAGTCCCATCGGGTTGGTGTAAGTCACTGATTATCCCCATATACAAGAAGGGAGACAAGTCTTCCTGTGATAATCACAGAGGGATTAGCTTGACTAATATAGTATCTAAAGTCTTAGGCTCAATAATCATGCGTAGACTGAGTGGTGCTCGGGAAGCACAAACACGAGAGAGCCAGGCAGGCTTTAGACCAGGAAGAGGGTGTATTGATCATATCTTCACCCTCCGACAGATTCTAGAACATAGGCATTCCTACCGGCGTCCAACAGTCATTATATTTCTTGACCTAAAGGCAGCATTCGACTCTGTCGATCGGGAAGTTCTCTGGAGATGCTTGGCTGTAAAGGGAATTCCGAGAAAATATATTGCACTGATTAAGGCACTCTACTCGTACTCATACAGCCAGGTGAGGGCTTACGGCGAGCTGTCATCTGAACTGATGACGACCAGTGGTGTCCGTCAAGGATGCCCATTATCCCCTTTTCTATTCAACTTCATCATAGATGTGTTAATGGACTTAACCCTAGGTGACTTCAGCGATTCAGGGATTGACTTGCTACCAGGGAATAATCTCGTTGACTTGGAATATGCAGACGATATAGTCCTTCTAGGCGAAGACGCTGACAAAATGCAGAGTCTTCTAAACACCTTGAACAGCAATCTACGAATGTTTGGCATGCGATTCGCTCCCGCCAAATGCAAGATGATGTTACAGGACTGGACTACATCGACGCCTAGTTTAAAAATAGGAAGTGAAGTGGTAGAGCACGTTGACCGCTTCACTTATTTGGGAAGTACCATCAGCCCCAACGGGCTGATCTCTGACGAAATCTCAGCACGAATACAAGGGGCTCGTTTCGCATTTGTTAGTTTACGCCGACTCTGGCGTAGACGAGATGTTCGACTATCGACCAAAGGGCGGGTGTACTGCTCATCAGTCCGCTCCGTCCTCCTTTATGGTTGTGAGACCTGGCCACTGAGAGTGGAAGACATGAAAAGACTAGCTGTCTTTGATCATAGGTGCCTGCGTTCTATTTCCCGTGTAAAGTGGCATAATAAGGTGAGCAACATGGAGGTTAGGCGTAGAGTTCTAGGTAAACAGGGGAAATCAATCGACGAAGTCGTGAAGCTACAAAGACTGAGATGGTTAGGACATGTGTTACGTATGCCAAGCCATCGCCTCCCTCGACGAGCAATGTTAGCGGATATAGGGTCAGGCTGGAAAAAAGCTAGCGGCGGTCAAACAAAAACTTGGCATCAGTCAATGAAATCCACAACAGTTGGTCTAAGCCACGTAGAAAGGTGTAGACTTCCAGGCTGGGGTCCTCGGGACGGTAAAAATCTATGGTTGGAAACAATTGGTGACATGGCTCAAAATCGTTCTCAGTGGCGCAGATGCATCCACTCCCTGTGACTTATGATCTTCAATGAAACTGTTTTGTATTTCTTTATTACTCCTTTGTCTCACACCTCTGCTCACTGTTTCTATTATGCTTTTCTTGTACTTTCTTCTCTTGCTTCGCGTGCTACACGGAATGTGGCGACTTGAACTTCCGCACATTTGTGCAAAGTTCTATGTCGAAAACAGACAGACAGACAGACAGATTCGTCCAAGTAACTAGCCAGAAATTATGTGGTTTCAACTAATGCGCTACTCTGAGCTGGGTGAAACTGGGTACACGGCAAAAGAACCGCTCGGTGTCTAGACCACTTCGATAATCTGGTCAGAAAGTACAACTGGTCGATGTAAGTAATGTCCGAGTGCTCATGTGAAGCGCTAATTGATCACTTGCTTAAAAGGTTACAGACTGTGTCACATTTACGTTAGTTGAAGCGACCCGCAACAAATGTACTAACCTTATGAGAATATATAGTGGAAAACTCAGTCGCTTTATATGTGGGAATTTTAATAATCTCCAGTATCCTCGGGTAATGAGGAAACAGGCATAAAATGGACTCAAACAATAAACTTGGAGGATCTGGACTTCGCCGATGTGATGTGATATGTCCAATTTCAAGCAAACTGGAAGATATGCAAGTGAGAAGCAACAAGTTGGCAGAAGCATCCAGAGAACATAGGACTTCAAGTGAACATAGATTAAGCTGAGGTGATGAAGATTCCTGGCCAACACCAACAGCAACAACAACAACTGACAACAATCAGCCAGCATAAATGGGAGGAACCTGAAAGAAACAACCTCCTTCACCTACCCACCTACCTACCTGGGAAGCATCGTTTCAACTACAGGCGGAAGGAACTGACGAGGATATCAAAGTGAGGATCGGAAAAGCAAGACAAGCTTTCATTACTCTTAAGTCTGTGTGAAGGTCAACACCACTCACCATCAAAAATAACATCCGGATTTTCAACTCAAATGTGAAGCCATTCAGTGCTACTATACGGATCAGAGAATTGGCCAGCGCGTCATAAAGAGCATCTCAAACAAACTTCAGACCTTCATTAACAGTTGTCTTCGCTCAATACTCGGGATAAGATGGCCTGCCAGAAAAGATCAGAAACAGGGTGGGATCTCTGGCAATGAGCGTACCAACCCAGCAAGAACCGATTGTGAAAGAAATAGGCAGGAAGAAATGGAGATGGGTTGATTGGCCACACTCTGAGGAAACCATCAAGTGACATCACTAGACAAGCCATGGCTCGAGTGGAACCCGACTGAATGGGAAGCGACGAGTTGGTCGTCAGTGTGAGGGTGACTTGGAGGAGGTCATGTGAAGAGATGAAAGCATGTGGGCAGACTTGGCGCGGGGTGAAAAAGTTGGCAGAAAACCGAAGGCAATGGTGACGCGCGGCTGAAGCCCTATGTTCCTCTATGAATTAAAGGATATAATAATAATAATAATCCAAGATGTGGTAGCAAACCGCTGTACAGCAGCTGAGAGTGAAAAGGATTCGGTCTACTCCTACAAAAGCTCACTGATGAGGCCAAGCAATCATAGCCACTGCGATATACGTCCTATTCACTGTCTTCACAAAAGTGAAAAAATGAATGTTGGCGTTTTGGAGCTGAACTGAATATAGGGGGAGGTGGAAAACTCTAACTTCAAGCCTATGGTGTGTGCAAGGGTTCCAGAATCCGAAAGGATCAAACTGGTCACTGGAAACCACAGAAGTGTAGCTCCGCTGCTTTTGGGATCAAGTGAAAGATTAGGGAGTGTTCGCTTAGGACAACCACCTGCTTCAATCTAGAAATCCGGGTAGTAGTAGCCCAACCCTAACAAGAACTATATGATTTTGGTGATCGCAATGCACCAAGTTTGTTTTAGTAATAATAATAATAACCTGAACTACAACTGATCTATTGAAATGACAGCAATTCTAAATTTCTACCTTCATCAATCAAGGTTTAAAACCAATAGGCATATCAGGTGGATGACAGAAAAAAAAAGGAGAAAAGCGGGTGAAGTAGAATGGAACAAAACAAACGATGAAAACAAAGTGATGAGACATTACAAACACTGAGACTGATTCCGAATCATTATCATCACTATTTTGATCAGACATATTGACATTTCGTATGATAAGTAAGCAAAATCGATGGGGTCGGTTGGGAGCAAGTAAAACAAACTCACTAAATCCAATTGATCTTGAAGTTGGGATTGATCACGTTTACTTCTTTCTAATTGTTCTTTGAGAATAGCAAGTTCAGACTGAACTTTATCACGTGATAGTAAAGAATTTTCAAGTCGTTTCATAATATCGCTGATACATTGATTTAAACGCTGGGAAGAGAACAAAAGGCATATTTATGAGAGTGAAAAGAGGTTTTTTCTCAAAAATGAAATAGTCTACACTATATATATGTATATATGCAATTAACAGTGTTCTGTCTCTCTCTTGAACAGATTATTTCCCATCAAACGTTTCAGACAGACGCCAGTACATATACTGTGGTGAGAGCAGGCTGCTAGCCGATTGGTTGACACTAATCTACGTTAATGTCTAGGTCACTAATATTGGCCGTGAGAAAATATGAACAAGGTTGATTCAACAACCAGTCACAGCAAAATTAACGTGGGCAAATATGATTCGCAGATAGATGGCTCCACTTTCCGAGGTTACCCGAAACAACCAATCAGAAAACTGCGCTTGTCTGCTTAACTTCCGAGAAACAACCAATCAGAAGACTGCGTTTATCTACTTGCATAAGCTATAATAATGTACAGGAAATAAATATAAATACGTGTTGATTTCCGTAATAAACGATCTGTTGCCGCGCTTGTCTTCTGTTGTTACAATACGACACACAAAGCGCACATTGAGGACAGTTAATTTATCGTATGCACGATATGTGCATACTAGGTTTCAACATAAAATCTAGCACACAAGTGCAGCCGTTCAAGTTAATACACTCCAAGTAGCACACCAGAGAAGATGAAAGAGAGAAAAGAATGACTATAATGAACTATGATAAAACAGAAATGTGAAGGAACGTGGAAAAACATGATGGTTTAGTGGATCTAAGTGACTACAACAAAGAGTGAATGAACCTGAGCCATTGAGATCGATTTTCAGACATATCTCCATTGGTCTCCAACAATTGGTTCTTGGAACACCAAGGTTCTCAACCCCAAACAGCCTTCACCTCCCTAAGTGGTCCACAAACTAACTATCAAAGTTTTCATGAACTGTTATGTGAGGTTTTGGTTTGAATACTCTTAACTGAAGGTACTCACTCCATTTGGATTCATGCAGTCGCTTAGGAGCTTATTGGAGCTGCCTTCAGAAGTAAAGACATGGAGACTTAATGGGTTTGAGATATTACAAAGAATGAATAAATCAATGCCACTGTAAACTATCTGGAGCACTATTATCACCAATAATGTCTAGAGGACACCAATCAGCCAAATCGGTCTTTACTTCCTTAAGTAGCTGGCTCAAGCCAACAGTCATAGACTACATACACTGGGGTATCAGGTTTTGATTTGACCAACTCTAAATCTTTTCCAACCAAAGTTAGCTTATTTATTGGCTTGACGAACAAGAAGACTGTGGCTCGCCAGGAGAAATGCCAGGAGTTCGAAATGCAAATACAAATATATAGTCATTAAAAAGTAAATTTGGAAAAATATTACGTAATTTAAACCATAGTACAAAAGAAAAAACGACTCTTACTGTGATTTCTGAATCTCTTCTGGTAAGTTCAGTTTGATGTAATTGTGCCTGTCTCTTTTTACAAAAAATGTGATATTACACAATCAAATTAGAGAAACTTACTGATAATTGGCTTTCAGTAATTGAACATTTTTCTTTTATCACTGCTAATTCTCTCTACATATAAAAAAAAGAAATTCGACAAGTAGGAATTTTATTAATCTGGTATTTTAGAGACGCAACTGGATTTTATGGCATCAGGGCGTATCTGCAACCTCAAAATAACTCATATCGCTTCTGAGATTCAAACCCGCGTCAACCAGTGCTGCACAGTCAAGAAGACGTTGCCACTGAACTACTCACACTCACAGCGCACCGTGACGGCGAGTCACCTAGCCATAGAGAAGGACGGAGTGAACTGATGAGCAGTACACACATCCCTTGGTTGATAGCCAGCCGGATGTCACACCTACGCCAGAGATGGTGTAAGTCAGCGAAAGCACCTCGAGCTTTTTGGATCCCTGCTGAGATTTCGTCGCCAATCAGTCCCCGTTGGTGCTGATACAACTTCCCAAATAGGTGAAATGGTGGTCAACATGTTCTATCACTTCACTCCCCATCACTAAGCTAGGAGTTGACCTAGTCCATCCAGTCCTGTAGCAGCATCTCACATTTTACAGGGGCGAATCACATGCCAAACATACGAAGATAGGTGTTCAAAGTGTTCAGAAGACTCTGCATTTTGTCACCATCCTCCCCTAACAGGAAGGACTATGTCATCTGCATATTCTAAGTCCACAAGACTATTCCCTGGTAACAAGTCGATTCCTAAGTCGTTACGTTCAGTTAAGGACACTTCCATCAGGATATCTATGATGAAGTTAAACAGAAATGGGGAATGTGGACATCCCTGTCGAACACAACTGGTTGTTATCAGTTCAGATGGCAATTCCCCATAAGCCCTTACACGGCTACGTGAGTAGTTTGAATAGAGTTCCTTGATTAGTGCAATGTACTTTCTTGGCACTCCCTTCACAGTCAAACATTGCCATAGTACCTTTCGATCCACGGAGTCGAAGACCGCCTTCAAGTCAAGAAATATGGTATTTGTTGGACGTCGAAAAGCGTGTCTATGTTCTATAATCTGTCGGAGAGTGAAGATATGATATATGCACCCTCCACCTGGTCTAAAGCCTGCTTGATTTTCCCTCGTTTGTTCCTCGCGAGTTCTAATTAGTCTATGCATGATTACTGAGTCTAGGATTTTAGAAACTATGTTCGTCAGGCTGATCCCCTCAATGATTATCACACGAGGACTTGTTTTCCTTCTTGAATATCGGTATAATAAGTGACTTACCCCAGTCTGATGATTCCCAGACTTCGCCTAGTGCCTTAGTTAGTCTACAAACTACACCCCCATATTTAACCATCTCCGGAATAATTCCATCGGGTCCTGACACTTTCCGTCGTTTTAAATTACAGATAGCTTTTGTTACCTCACTTACAGACAGCGGACCAGAGTCTATATCCCATTCAGGTGTGTGCTGGATGTCGGGGAGGTTCAGTGTGGTTGTAGGCAAGTTAAATTGTTCCTAAAAGTGTTCTTTCTAGCATTCAAGGCGTCTGTCCTGAGGGCTAATTATAGTGCCATTTTTCTCCGGGATTGTTTCACTTATGAATTGTCTTCTCCCACCCGTTCTCCTGATAAGTCTAAAGAGTTGCCTGTCACCGATGCTCTTTCCATCTCTTCCGCCTTTGTCACCCACCACTGTTCACGGTCCTTGCGGAGACTTTTCGTAAGTTTCCTTTTGTGCAGCTTTCGCTCCTCATTGATTTCGGAGCTCGCCCGAATAAGTCTTCTAGCATCTATCAGTCCGGATGAGGCAGTCGAAATCCAATGGTTTTTACTCACCTTTGGATTTACCTTATTCACAGCTTTTACAGCTGTATCTATGGCTGACTGAATATTCTTCCAGGCTTTTTCAGGGTGAGTACAGCTGTCGAACTCGGACATGTGAGTCACCTAGCATGCTTGTGATTACATTGTACACTTGACTGATGGAATTCAGTCTGCACCAAAGATAGGACTAGACACACACACACACACTACCCTACACTAGTCCAATCAAAAATTTTATAAATTTATTAGGCTTTTCTCGATAATATACGAATAAAAACAAAGGTTTGTACTCTTGTTTTGAAAATGATAATTAAATATTTCTAAAAAAATGCAAAAGCAGTGGAAATGAAAGGTTTCACAGTTCAGAAAAGAAGATAGAAGTAAAGCAAGGCTAACCACCCACTACTACCACAGATTATCTTCCTAATTGTGACAGACTGACACATTCGACAGACCACAGGAAGTGAGGAGAAGAAAAAAAAGAGTGTGAGTTGAACTGATAAAAAGAATCCCAAAAATTCTGGATTTCACGGATAATTCGTGCCTAGTATCAAACAACCTTCAAGACTTCAGGTGAGCATAGAGAAGACAAAGGTGATGAAAATGCATTATACTAGCCAACAGCTACAAGTATCAATTATCATCAACGAGGAAAATGTAGGGGAGGTTATCGCTCTCAAATTGGGCACTAACATTTCAGTTACAAATGGCACGGTTGAATGCGTCAAAAGCAGAATCGCAAAAGTGAGACAAGCGTTAGTTACTATGAAGTCACTGTGGACATCTAAAGCACACGGAACATTATCGGAATGTCTAGCAGAGAACGAAATCCAGGTCGACTGGACATAGTCTTAGAAGGTACCTTCAAGTGACATCACACTCAAGAAACTCTAAAAGGAACAAATTTACCTCATAGTGACATGAAGGAGATCATGTGAAGAGGAAATAAGAGCCTGTGTGTAGTCGCCGAACTAGCTAAAAAGCACGGCATAAAACTGAGTGCAATGGAGACCCTACTGGTACTGAGGCCCATGTCCCACTCGGAACCCAACAAATGACTGAAATATACGCTCAGATAAAGCCTGAAGTACGAATGTTATTACATGTGTAATTGACTTACTGGTTTCAAAATAGAACTTTGTACAGAAGCGCAGCAGTTGCACATACAACTGAACTAATATGCTAAATTACATGAGCCTTATACCTTAAGTATATTGAGTTTTATACTCAGGAACAAAAAGAATAGTTTCGTGAGAAACCTATGAATGCAGTTGTCCTTGCTTTGAATACCCATTTGCATCCATTTGAAATGACGTTTATGCATCGATAAGTGGTCAATTATCAGATAAACAGAATGACACTAAAAATCAATCTGTATTCTCCTCAATCACCGATTTCCTAAAATATTGATTTGGTTAAGCATAAAAGGCATCTACCGAGATACATGAGAAACATACTCTATTTTATCAAAGTGGAGTTTCAAAGTTAAAAAGTCAGATCTAATGCACCAGCGATGGATTTCAAAAAAATTTATGAAGCTTCATCATGCAGTGAAGATGCCTGATTCCTCAAGTCAGTTTAAACTAGCTTGTATGTGAAAGAACTGGCCTGGTCATGCTTAGAGTCAATATTACTACTGACATGACCAAGTCCATAGGGACATCACATGGACTACCTAAGTCGACATACATTTATAACTTCAACATAACACATTCGTATAAAGATTTCAAAACTGGCAAACACCATAAGGTCTCAAACCTGACTAGGCAGCCTAGCCTAAAACTCACTAACTGGCTAGCTCAAACCAATTACCAAGGAAATCATGGACTTGACAACCCCTAACTTCTTCCCAACCATATCCTATGCCAAGTAGCATTGCTTGTAAACGCGGGTGGTAGCTCGGAATGCGCAGCGCGTGTCCTAACGATCTCAATTGATGTAGCTTCACAACCTCACGGATCGATTAGTCCTCATCTAGTCTTAATATTACTCTCCATATTATACCATTTTATGCGGGAAATAGAACTCGAACATCTGTGGTCAGTGGCAGAATGCCATTTCATATCTCCAACTTTTAATAGCCATACCTCACAGGCATTAAGGAGGACTGACTGACTGGATTCAACATGGAAATTTGGACAGATGTGCAGCAGCACTTCGAGTTGCCACTCACACTCCATGTACCACACAAAGCAAGAGAAAATACTCAAGGAGGTTCAAAAGACAGATGATAAACACACTTGTGAGGGGAAAAGAATAGCAACATACAAGAACAGTGGATTTTTATGGGATAGGACCAAATCATAGAGTGAACGCGCCTGTGCCATCACTGGAAACGATTTTCAGACATACCTCTACAGACTCCATTCGTGCCTACCATCCCGAGGACTCCAACCAGTCAGGAAGTCTACATCTCCCACCTACGTGGCTGGCTTTAACTAAAAGTTGTGAATTTCATTGACTGATGTTGTGTTTTGGTTTGACCATCACCACTAGCTATTTTCCAACCTGACCCATCCTATGTCAGATAACACTGCCTGTCAACGAAGGCGATCAATGGCTAGGCATGAGTAACACATGTCCTGACGACATCAATCGATTTAACTTCACAACCTCGTCGATTGGTTTTCCCTCCTCACCTAGCACTCGACTGAGGCCAAACTTCAATATTGCACACCCTGTTATGCCACCTAACATAAGAGATAGAACGAGGGCATCTGTGATCAATGACGGCTAGCTAGTCTTCTCATGTCTTCCACTCTCAGTGGCCAGGTCTCACAGCCATAAAGGAGGACGGAACAGACTGATGACCAGTACACCCGCCCTTTGGTCGATAGTCGAACATCTCGTCTACGCCAGAGACGACGTAAACTGGCAAATGCGAAACGAGCCCCCTACATCCGTGCTGAGATTTCGTCAGAGATCAACCCGTTGGGGCTGATGGTACTTCCCAAATAAGTGAAGCAGTCAACGTGCTCAACCACTTCACTTCCTATTTTTAAACTAGGCGTCAATGTAGTCCAGTCCTGTAACATCATCTTGCATTATGCAGGAGCGAATCGCATGCCAAACATTCGTAGATCTTCTCACTACCTTCAAAATAAGACTAACTACAGTTAATATAAAATCAACAAAGTTTCGTTGCATGCGTACCTATCAAAGTAGCAAATAAGAGAATTCATAAATAACTTACTTCATGAGATGAGTTCGTTGTAGCAATCAATTTATCTAGTCGTAACTTTTCAT